GGATCCCCCCATGACGTGAGAGCGGATTTCAGACGACTTCGCGGTTAGATCAGCGAATTTCTGCACTTCTGAGCGTGAAATTACACCGTCCAGCCGATCATCAAGTTCACTGGAGCAGTGCAACTTGAAACTCACCGCGTACCACGAGGTAGAACAGCAACACACGTATAACTTGAAATGATGCTTTCCGGTGGGTTTTTGTGGGTTGAAGACTATAATGTGGCGGGCGTACTGGGATCGGCAGGCAATTGTGGCCTCATCAACAGCCACGTTTCGACCGACTTCAACATGGCGCAGGCATCGCGATTTCAGAATGCTCATGAGTGGTCGTATTCTAGCTACAGGACCGCGCTTGATGTCGGAGGTAGACACCTTGGAACGAAAACTCAAATTCTTACGGATGTACAGGAATCTTCGCCATGTCATAATTGACTTCAAACTAGTAGTACGCGCTCCAGGAAAAAATAGTTGCTTCCTCGTCGTCCACCCAGTAATTTCTCATCTCACCCTTGTCGAACAGAGTCATGTACCAGAGGATCCCAAGGAATTTCATCAGTTCCTCTAAACTTACAGGAGTTGCCGATGGGCTGCCAGATGCGTCTGCATACTCGTTGGTAAAGACGACCACTTGGATCCAGAACGACAACGGAATAAACGCGAAGAACGATGAGGTTGCGGAATGCCCAAACAACCCATGACTTTTCGGGCGTAGTCTGGTAGTTGAAGACCCATCCGGATGTGTAAATAGCCCTGACGGTTGGCCAAGCGATGCTGTGGGTGAAAATGTCATTGACGCTATCTCTTCGACTTCACCAGGGCACAAAGGGCGCTGCAATTCTTTCCGCCCGCGAAACGCAAACCACTCACGATAACCACGCTCGTCCATCTCCTCAAATTCATCTGTCAGTGCAGGAATGTTTGATAGTTTGGGGACCATGTTGCACAGGGACGTCCAAGACTCTCCAAATTGAAGTTTGTCTTTTTCCATGTTGGCAAACTGGCGGATACCACGGGTGATGATGGCTTCGGAAACGTGGTGAACGTGATCTTTTATTTGAAAAGCAGTACACGTCCATTGAACCTGAAATTTGTCGTGAGGAACGCTAACATTGTCAGCATTTTTTTCGCTTGCCAGGCTGTAGCGAGTCACCACACTAATCAAAAATGCTGCGCCAACGTCGCGTTACAAACTGAGCGGCATCCACTCCTCATCAGCCGGTGAAAATGCTACGCTAGCATCAACAAATTTTTCGGCAGCCGCATGTGCTCGGCGAATCAACTCTTCTTTCATTGCCACAGCCTTGGGTTTACTGGCCTTGGTAGGTGCCTTCTTGCTTTTCGTTTTCCGTTGCGCAGCTTGGTTTTCGCTTCGAGGTGCCTTTGGAGCTGATTGTTCGGCAGGACCGCGCTTTTTTCGCTTAGGTTTTGCTGCCCCCGAGCAATTTGTAGCAGGATGTGTGGCGGCGTTGGTCTCTGCAGGTTCCGACGGAGCCACACTTGGCGTCAAAACACTCGCGGGGAGGTCAAGTAGGGCATTGGGTCGTTCATCACTTCTCCCTTGGTCCACCAAGTTCATTTTTGTAGCGTTTGTGTGCTGCAATAGCTGCTACCACCGAAATCCTTGGCGAATCCACCATTAGGGTCTGGGATATTCAACGAAACGCAGACATCATGAGAGCAGAAGTGATGGAGAAATTTTTTGCACCAGGTACAACTGCGCTCGGTTGAACACTCCATATTGCAGACTGCACATTGCGCACATGTACCAGACGATGCGGTGGGTGCGTGGTGATCTAGCTGGAGTAAATGGTCTCGCGTAGCTGCTGCATATACGGGTACGACGCGCGCTGATGTTGGCGGTGTAGATACAGCAGAGGCAGCACCATCATAATCCTGAGAGGTGCTGGCAGCACCATCAAACACCAATTTACTCCCGGAAGCGCGGCTTTCTCACAATCAACGTCGTTTGCACTCGCTCCAGGAACTCCGCCGCTACTACCACGTACATCATCTGCCGCGTTGAGACCAACATCGCCAGCCCCACATATATTAACGTTGTTTTGGTCGACATCAATTTCGTCATCGGGTCGCTTGGACAGGGCACCATCCGTATCACCATCCTCCACTACCAATGTCCGCCGATAGTGCTCCAAAAGCGCTCGTTCACCCAGAAAATAGTCGATACCCTCTGTTCCATTCGAGTCATCACCGGGAGGGATATAGCGGTACAGATCACTCAAGCTTCGCCCTGTTGGACGCTTTGAATTCCAACCAGCCGCACTTAGAACTCGCCAAACAGATCCAAGCATCGCATGGTCATCCGCGAGGTCTGTATGCCGGTGGACACGCGTCAATATGATACCTTGCTCGAGCGCTAGGTAAGCAACGGATCGTACCTAGACCGGTGGGAGCTGAAGGTGAGATACGACCCGAGCGTCGTGATTGTTGTCGCTTAGCTGTGGGCTCGCAGGTGCTCGACCGCTGCTTCCGCTTTCGTGGCATTGGGTATGTGGTGGTGGACGAGCTCAGCTAGCGTACCAGTGGCTCCTTCACGGCAAAGATCTCTAACTGGTTTGCATGCATCGGTCTCGCTTGAGCCATTGGACCGAATATATTGTTATTTGTATGGCCATGTTCGAAGTGTTCAAAGGGACCGAACGTACTAGGCTTTGTATGGGGTGGTTCGACTCATCGTTGTATGTGATGTTAGTATGGTGGAGTTTGAACCCACCGGTGCAGGTTCAATGCCCGCCATGCGGAATGCAGCGTAGCTGTGCTGACAAGGTACCGTGCAAAATGCATCGGATATCGAGTGCGGGATGAATACAGTGTAATTACACAGAGTCATGAATAGTACGAGTACTCAAAGCGTTCAACGGTAACATACGGTACTTAGATTTACTCCAGTATTGCTACCAAATATAAGTGCTGTAGCGGCTTCGGCATCGTCTCCAGAGTTACGTTGACCCATGCAAGCCCCATAGTGACGGTCCGAACTACGGTACACGGCGACAGTGGTGACGCCCATCGTAGATACACTGCTGCCAAGTGCCAATGCCGCCTGCGTGTCCCTGTCGCTGGGCAAATTGGGCGCTTGCGACGTCGTCGTCATGGCGACTTCAGGCTCCATCTTGACCCCCGATGGGACTCGAACGCTCCATTTCTAGCGGTAGCCTCTCTTGATCTTTGTCGCCGGTGGCACCCCGCTCCCTCCTGAGGCATCTACGTGCGGTTGTCCGTCGATGAGGATCGCTGGAAGCGAAAAGGGCGGGAGAACGCCGTCCACCTGCAGGTCTAGTGGGCAGTCGTCCAGTGCCGCCTCCGACGCTCCATCTCGGGGTCCTGTAGCGGAATCTCGGCGTCTCGCAGCTGAACGTGGTTGACAGCCACACCCGGCGGCAATGCCGTGAGGAGAGTTGGGGACTACGGGACAAACGACACCATCCCAGCGCCAGTTCTAGTAGCACTGCGTTATCGACAACAAATGCGCTGTTGCGGCGGTTGTGCGGGACGTGGTCGTCGGGTGGGTACACGACGGACAGCGAGTCCAACTTCATGCCCGGTGCGTCCCGAGGTCAGCGCGTCAAGTAGCACAGGCGGTCAGCAGCAGCAGATGCGTCGACACACAGGAGCTGAGCGTGTGGCGACTCCAACGACGCTGGACTTGGAGAGTGAGGGGCGAACTGGCAGGCTGGACTTGACCGCAGCGTGCACAGTATCACGGGCAGCCACGCGCCGTAAACGATGGGTACGGCCAGCATATGTGTACCACCGTCGTCCGAGGCGTGGAAACCGGAAGAACGGAGCGTGGTCAGCCAGGGACACTTGGGATCGAGCTTGCAAAATCGGAAATGAGCTCCGATGCGAGAAGGTCATTTTGATTCGGAGCAAGCCGACCAAACAACAGTGGATCGATTTGAACTAATTCCGCCAATCACACTTCTTGTTGAACTTTGGCAGCCAATCACTGTCATCGAATTTTCGAAGACAGGCTTTGATTGGTCAAAGCGAAGACATGGGAAAAAATGTCAGCGCGGGAAAGCTCGAAAAGATGAACCAAAGCAAAATGGGCACCAAAAAGGCGAGCCTTTACATGTTGTGTAAACCACTTCAAATACCAATAGCCTATTTATGTGACATTATGTATCGCGACCGCTCTACCCGTTCTCCCTCGCCGAAACGCCCTACCATCGGCATTCCCCCAATCATGGTCTTGATGGACCTGGTCGGAGCGTCTCCGCCGTCGGCGACACGGATGCGATGGTGGCGGGCGACTCGGGCAGCAAGCACAACGGCGGCCGCAGCGCCGCCGTGTGTGCCGTCAACAGCATGGTCTCGGAGGCTTCCGCGGCGACCGTGGCCGTGTTGGATGTGATCGGGGGCGTCTCCGCTGGCATGGTCACGAACGTGACGGTGGCATTCGGCGCGGTCGATGAGGCTAATAGGGGTGCTTTCGTGTTGGCTGGGCAGCGCCACGAGAGCGTTTATAGCAGCGGCATCGATAGCCGGGCTTAGTTGCCTTGCTGGCGGTAGGAGCGTCTTGAACCTGGTGTTGAGTACATTGATGGGGATGGGACCTTTGTGAAAGGTCGGTAGGTTATCAGGCGAAGAAGTATGAGACCAAATATCTTATGGTATGTATGGCATTATAGATTTCTAGATCTCGTGGCAACCCGATGGCAGACTTCTCGGACGAAGAGGACTTGCTGCTTTATCGGCTGGCAAAGGAGCAGGTTGATGCAGGCCGCCGAATTAACTGGCGGACTGTCTGGTTGGGGATGCCATACTGCGGGAAGACACAGCGACAGCTGCAGATTCGTCTAAAGACGCTGAAGAGGACACACGGCGTGAGCTTAGATTCTTTCCCAAGGAGATTTCGGGATCAAAAATCGGCACGGACGCGCTTAGTGGTGGCCACAAGGTGAGCGCTCCCGATAATATTGGCAACGTTCATGACGCTGTGTCAAGTTTGTATGCCTCGGCCTTGCGTCAACCCGTCCATGCGCCGGATTGTCATGCTGGTGAGATTTCGCCAACTGGGGTTTCAGCAATACTGGCAGTCATTCCAACGCTTACAATCGCCGACGCTTTTGTTGACTTTGGATCTGGGATCGGCAACGTGGTTGCACAAGTGGCATTGGAGACTTGTGTTGGGAGATGCATCGGGATTGAGTTCCAGGACAACTTGGCAAACATGTCCAAACTGCTGATTCGTGGCGCACGCGTGGATTTCCCGAATTTATCCAAGGTCACGATTCACGAGGCCGACCTCAGAGCGATGAGCCCAGCCGTACGCGAGGATATTGACGGGTGCAGTGTTTTATTTGCGAACAATATCGTTTTCGAGCCTACAATTTTTGCGGCGCTGGAGGACTTTGCATCTTCAGCAGCAGGTTTGGTCCACGTCGTTGTCATGGCAACAATTTGCGGCGGGCACCGCCCAACCTGCCCGCGCAACTTCTGCTCTGTCTGGACGCTCCGCAGCGTATCGACGTTCACGTGTCTTGGTCTTCCCAGCTTCATCACGCATACTGGTACACCAGGGTTGTAGAGCCCTACATCTCAGTACCTCGCGCAGAATGGAAAGGGACATTCAATTTACTTCGTTTGTCAGACATGTTCATCCCATTGTTCTTTACCTGTAGAGCCAATAACATATATCAGCCATTGTACACATCTACATCAACGTCTTGCACGGACATCGTAGCTCTGACCGCATCCCCCAAGGTCAGAGTCACCTCCATCGCGCCTGAAAACCTGCTGTCGATGTCGCTGGCGACGCCGCTGACGCTACTACCGGCGGCAACCTGCGTGCGGACTGCCGCTGTCGTTGCGCTCGCTGCCCGAGCCGAATGCCACCGTCGCGTTCGTGACCATGCCAGCGGAGACGCCCCCGATCACGTCCAACACGGCCACGGTCGCCGCGGAAGCCTCCGAGACCATGCTGTTGACGGTGCTGACGGCGCTCCCGTAGCCATTTCGCCCGCTGCCCGAGATGCCCGCAGTCATCGCGTGCTTGTCGCCGCCGTCGGAGACGCTCCGGCCAGGTCCAGGACAGCCGCCATATTCGCCAACGTCGCATCGGAGACCACGGCGCCACCGCTTCACAACTAGGAAAAGCCCCACATAATCCACAAGATGGCGCTGTGATCCACGGTACTGCTCTTACTAAAGTTTTGTTAGGGTGCTGTTCTCACGGTACTGCTTCCACTGATACTTTTGTCGATTCGCAGCGAATCCCAGAGAAGCAGTAAAATGATGCCTCACGTATCTTTTTGATCGAAAGGTCGCTTCAAACCTCCCATCACGTATACTTTTGATCAGTTGGCCTCGCAAACCTAATACAGCAAAATGATACCTCATGCATCATTTTACCCCGTTTTACTTAAAGTTTGTATGGTGTCCCTTCAAACAGAAATGTATGGCGTTAACGATAGGGTTAATATTCACGAAGATCATGGACGTGTACGAGATTCCTGGAGTGACCTTCGATCTGGCGGAAACTATCGCGGCCAAGACGGTGAAAGACCTCCTGGCAAAGTTTGTTCCTGAAGCCCGGATGAAAATGAAATGAAGGGAATCACCTTCCCGTCAGGAAAATACTTAACGGATAGCGCCAAATAGCGTACCCTTCCCGAATTGAATACCGCCTCTCAAATCTGATAGAATGTGCTCAGTATACAAAGCTATTGTACCTACGCCAATTTGTATACCTCAACCAAACCGTATAGAACGTTGAGTGCTTATAATTTTCTTGAAATTTATGTGAAGTTTAGCATGTAAACATCTTTTGATTGGCTAAGAGATGTCTTAAAATTGAAAATCACCCTTTATTTTCCGTATAAGTATTACTTTGTCAAATACGGCAAGCAAGATCCGGTTATTTTTTTATCTTTTTAAAGACCACAGTTTAAAAACTGACACTTGTATTCGGTACTGTTTGCATTTTGTGTAACTTTACGCAAAATTACCGTAAGGTACCCAAAGAAAAATGGTTTTGGTTGTTGGTCTAAGTTCTGCTTGCATCTAACGGCATGAGAGACGTTGTGAACCAACTCTGCGCAATCTATGGATGTCTCCATGGTTTGAAGACTGGTACATACGTTGGCAGGATGCCATCAAAGAGGTTTTGCAGAACGTAGCTAGCTCTACACACAATATTTCAGACTTGAATGCGTCGGAGCTACTTTGGTAGTATAACCCCCTTCCTATTTGTATATCTTTCTAGATTTGACAAGTGTTCAATTCAATAGTATGCGGTATACAAATTGGCGTTGTCCGTTAGCTACCGTTTTTGCCATCGGTGTAGTGTCTAGGAATCGAAGCACACACAGCTTGAACTCGTACGTACTTAAGTAATCGCAACGAGCGCTCGTAGTGCTTTGGCCGCGCGTCACCTTCACTTTTTAAGCGTGTTCTACCTGTTCGCGCCATTCAAAATGGCGTAACGCAACGAGCGCGGCTATCAGGCTCCGAGATTGAATGTCTTATTTCAAGTGTGAATTATATGGCTTTCATTGGATAATCGAAAGTGTGCTCTATGATATATATGTGCTCCATGATATTGTGCTTTGCAACCGGTTTTCCGCTCTCGCTCATCTCGCTCTCGTTTATCCTCTGCGCGCCGCTCGTCGCGTTCCTCTCGTCGCCGCTTCCCCTCGGCTTCGGCTCTGCGATCGGCGTCTTCGCGAAAGAAGAGCAGTAGCTCCTTCATTTCCGATCCCATTGCAGCGTGGGCAGCCTCTGCTTCTTTCAATTCTTTGTCAATAGAATCCATGCGGTTCTTGGCTTGGTTTCTCTTCGACGCAGCGTACGTCGTCGTCACCGAGCTCTCAGACGCGGGGCTTTTGGCTTTAGCTCCTGGATCGCGCCCACCCATCACCTCAAAGTTGTCCCGAAGAACTCGTAGATCTCGCCCACCTAGGCAATCACTGGTGTTGTGCAGCCGTTTGTGTTTTTCGGCCTCTGCTGCATCGGAAGCAGCACGATCCGGGTTTCGCGTTAGGGTGGGCCCGTTGGGCGAAGCCACCGAAGCCAGAGGTTGGCAGTCGCGCTTCGGGCGGCCCACAGCTCTCGGTGTCACCGGCGTGGGCCTCGCCAACGCATTTGACGTTGATCGAGCGTCAATGGTCGTTGCAGAGGCCGCACTTCGATCGCTCCGTGCACCATTAGCTGTAGTTTGGCCGTCTTGCGCATCACGCACCTCTCCGTCGCCAAATTTGGACTCAGCCTGCTGGAAGTCAGCAGCGAACTCGACCGGAACGAGGCCCTGCTGGGTCATCACGACCCCAGCAAGCCGCGTATCGCTGCCGTGAAGCTCGGCAACGGGAGGAAGAGGGGGGTCACGAGGCTGGTTGGCGTCAGCCTCTTCGGACGTACCCTCCTCCGAGCTTTTTTCGTCGTCGACCGAGTTGACAGAGGAGACCGACTCGTCGTCCTCCTCCGCCACCTCCTCCTCGTCATCCTCCTGCTGCTTGTCGATCCGAGCACGGTTGCTGTCTCCACCGTCCTTGGTCGAGACCGAGTTCGGTTTCACGTTGAAGGTCTTGCCCACCTCGTCCGCGAAGAGGGCCATGTTGACCTCATCCATGAGGTTCTCGTCGTCCTCTCCGTTGTCGCGCCCGTCGTGCGAGGTGTGCGTCCCTCCCTTCTTCTCTATCTCATATTGAGTCGCATGAGCCATGAGGATAGCTCGCTGTTTGAGCGTCAGGCGGTCACCCTGATTGCCCGTGGGCTTGGCCTTCCCGTAGAGCTTGCGAAACTTTCTCCGCAGTGAGTCAAAGTCGCGTTCCCACCAGGTAGGTCCCTGGAGCCATTGTACTCGGCCGCTAGCGCCATCCACATGTTCCTTCCAGTCGGAAGGATTTTTGCGGCCAGGTCGCAAAGGAGAAGCTCCTCGTTAGCACCGTAGTTCTGGTATCCTTGCTGCCGGCCTCGCTGTAGATAGACACGTAAGATACGACGAATTTCAAAAGATTTCATTACACAACATGTACACAATTTTCAATGCAAAGCTGCCTTAAAGCCGCTCCCGGGAGGTGGATTCAAGCAGAGTCCGAGTCCTGGTGCAAGTGTTGCAGGTGGCGATGCTGGCACCCCGACCACCCGCAGCGACAGACAAACCACAACTTGTTGCCGTAGGAGACCGTCACCTCCTCGCCCGGGTAGATATCACGAATGCTGACGGCGACCACCGTCAGGCGCTGGCCCGTTTGAACTTCGTGGAACCGGGCGCTTGGATTGCAGGTGTGGTTCATGAAGCGGAGGTTGCCGCCCACTTTCAAGGCGTCGATGCCGATGAACTTGTTGCCCGTAGTGCGGGTCCGTAGGTGCATTCTGTAGCCGTCGTTGACTGGGCCGTTCTTGCAGGGCGGCCCGAACAAGTCCATGTGGCCAAAATACTGTCCGATGACTCCTCCAGCAGGAATCGCAGCTTGCGCCACCAAGCCGCGCATTCCGGTGCGCAGGTTGCGACCAATTGCGAGTGCGCGGCTTTTGTGAAGCCCGTTGCCGCACTCGGCAGCGAAGGTGCAGTTGTACTCCGTGCAGAATCTGCTGCTTCGAGCGTTGAGGCAAGTGCTTGCCTTGCAGCGCTCCTCGCACCCACAGCCAAGCCCCCCTCTCACCCCCACACTGACGGCTGGGAACTTCCAGCGGCGCGGATTCAGCTGCGCTGACGTGAACTGCACGTCATCCGGCCACGTCTCGAGCTGCCACTCGTCGCGGGGTGGGTTCACGGCACCGCCTTCGACAACAGTAAAGCCCGGGGAGCTCATGCACGAGGCGGTGAACGACGGGCGTGCAGCTGGAAGTGGGGAGCCGATGAGCCGCGCCGTCTCGGGTTCGTCGCTGTCGGAGGCGACCGCCTCGGTATACCAAGCAGGAAGAACCTCTGCACGTTTGTGCAGGCGCGACCGGAAGGGGCTTTGGGGTGGCGACGGGGGAGTCGCGGTTCTTGTTTGGGAACTTGCCGTCGCAGGCGAGTATGCAGCATCTGGACTCGGAGCTGAGCGCGCAGGTGTGACCGGGGGCGATGGTTCCGTCTCAGTGCTCTGGCTGGAACGAGGCTTGAAGGGGCCATCACCCGACGAGGCAGGCGGGGAGAGCCGAAACTCCGGAAGTGGAGCCACCTGCATCGTCACAGACGCATTGACGCCTTCGGGCAGCACCACCCGACCGGATCGCGTCCTTGGCGACGCCGACCGTTGGTGGTCAGAAGCAGCGGGGGCTCCTACGCCGGAGGGCAACGAGGCCGAGTGCTCGGAGATCTCTCTGGACAGTTCCTCCTCGGCGGAGGGCGTCGCGCGTGGCGACACTCGGGTCGTGACAGTAGTCTTCACGGTCGTCACGGTCTTGACGACCGTCAGCACCGTGGTCTTCTTGACCTTCGCGCCGGCGCAAAGTCCCGCCGGTGGTCCCGTGGGCGTGACAGCAAGATGGCCGAAGGAAGTGGGTTGACTGGTACATCAGCAGCGACCTCGCTGCGTGGCTCTGCTGATGGCGGTTCGCAGCGGTTTGACTCGATTGCAGCGGCGTCAAACGCCACGGCGCTGAGCTTGCGGCGCTTGGAGACGAGAGCACTCAAAGTCTCGTGAGCACAGCTTGTCGCGTGGCGGCGTTTGCTCGGGGGAGACGGGTGCATGGTTGCCTAGGCAGTGAATCAACAATCTTCTAGCTGGTATGCACAACCACAGCAACTCATACAGTGTACGTACACGTTTGCAGCAGGCGGGGGCTTCGGCACGACGAGGTGAGATTCGAAATGAGGCGTGGGCTGTGCGAGCGCGCGCGCTTTCGCGCCTTAAAGCCCTCTAAGATCGCGCGCAACTTCAATTCAAACGAAATCTCTAAATGAGGGAGCTGTTTGGACCCATACATTCTTTAAGATATTTTTTAATCGAGTTGCCAAATAGGGGGGTGATTAAAAGGACGACCAAACTCATTTTCGAATTGTTTGAACGGAGACTTTTTTTATCCTCCAAACAATTCCGTTTAATCGCTCCGTTTAATGACCGGTTTTATCCCCCCTACCCCTAATGACCAAACCGTTTTATATAGGTTTTGGAAGGCGCCCAGTGTAGTAGTGCGGCCTGTCACGTGGCCGACAGACGGCGACAGCCGCGCACTCGAGTCGTCATCGACTTGACGAACGAGTGACGAAGAGGACGATCAGCCAGTCGGGGCGCGAAGTGTGGCAGCGGCAGTTGGATGGTGGCGGAGGTGAGCCAGTGGGCTGGAGACACCGGCTACGGGCGGTATCCTACAACTTCAAGGCCAGATGTCGGCCATGCAAAAGATCGCAGGAGGGCGGACACGGAGAAGAGTGAAGGACAAGTAGTATGCAGAGAGGAGAGGCGACGACAGAGCGAGTGGCGTGCGGCTGAGAGACAGCGAGAGCAGATAGGTTAGGAAGGGCCCTCTCGTAGGTAGAGAATAGGAGGCCTCGTAGGTGGGGGCAACGAGCGCGCGGCTGGCCGCTCGACCTTCAGTTAAGATTGTTCCCGGTTGGTGAGCAGTTAAGACTAAATACAGCAAGAGAGTGGCGCCGTACGCGGGTTCCAGTAAAGCTAAGGTGAGGCAGAGATTAGGACGATTGGTGCACGATGAGGGCGTAACACAGTAGGGTGGTGGGGACTGTGGCTAGAGACCACAGGGGTCGTGGCAGGAAGTGCGAAGCCTGCCATGATCGTAAGGGCGAAGGAGTTCGCTCGCCGCACTCGGGCTTGAGCTCCTGAACTCGAAGTAGATAGAGAAATACGGATTACCTGCGGGACACAGCCCAAAGACCCTATCCGGGGGTGACGGTCGCCGATAATGTGTCCTCCCCACCGTTCCTATCCGAAGGACGTCTGGTCCGACGGCCAGTAGCTGTCTGGTAGTGTTGACGTGTCTGCCTCGCACTTTGATCTCTGTCGCTACGTCCACCGGGCTACCTAGGTGGACGCACTACTCTCTCTCTGGCTGCTGAACCAGCCGACGTGCAATGGAATTGGCGTGGTGGTTCGGGAACTAGCTACACTAGCAATGAACCAGTACATGGATGCGAGGTTTACTGTGTGCGTGTATCGCGGCGTGGACTACTGCGAGACCTACGGCATGACGATGAGTGACTACGCATTGACTTCGTACGATGTTCAGACGGGACGGGTGTGGCTGTGGCTTGGTATTGTCTACGTGGTGGGGGTCTACCTTCTCTTCATGGTAGTCTCCTGGTTGATCTTGGAGTACTGGCGCTACGAGAGCCCCGAACATGTTGCGGTGGCGGTGAATGATGCCTCCATTCGCGACGAAACTTCATCGTCGACGGCCGATTATGCGTTGGTGGCGACTCCAAAGGGGGCGGACGTGACGATCCCCATCGTACAAACCCCTGAGAGATCGTTTGTGCCTGTGGCGATAGCTTTCCGAGATGTATGGTACTCCGTGCCTGACCCCGCCCAGCCCAACGCAACTACTGACCTGCTGAAGGGCATCAGTGGCTTCGCGTTACTCAGGACCATGACGGCGCTGATGGGGTCTTCAGGAGCGGGCAAGACGACGCTCATGGACGTGATCGCAGGACGGAAAACTGGTGGCAACATCCGCGGACAGATCCTGCTAAACGGCCAACCAGCCTCGGAGCTCGCGATTCGCCGGTGCACGGGGTACTGCGAGCAAATGGACATCCATTCGGACGGCTCTACACCATTTCCGGGTCGTTCTGCACAAATGCTCGATTCAAAACAATCACGTAGAACAAAGGGCAGTATACACGTCCGACTCCGACCAGAACAGTACACGGATTCAAAACAATCACTTTCATTTTCTAAATGAACATGTGCCATTTTTCTGGTACGTTGTGGGAAAGACTGATCAACAATTGACACTGCGTCGTATTTATGTTCTCAAATTAATACTGAGATCAGCCAGAATTTTCTCGAAAAGGACAATTGTTGATCTGCTTCCCTCTGTGGTATCACAGAAAGGGCAGCTGATCGTTTTGAAAATGGCTGTGGTCATTTTGAATCGAGAATTTGATCAGAAGTCGGCCAAGTATACGCCATAAGTATACTGCCCTTTTTTCTACGTGATCGTTTTGAATCGAGCATTTGTGCAGAACGACCCGGAAATGGTGTAGTATCACGACGAAAGGGGTCGGGCATCTGTATTGCAAAGATTTTTTGCTCTCTCTGTCTGTGTCGTCTAAACCAAAACTCGGCCACACCCAATGCCCGCCGGGGGGATCACTTCCAGACTCTTCGGTTAGCGCACACATCTCCCAAAAGCACAGCAGCTCGTGTAGACAATGTCTTCCTCCACGGCGCCGACGTGCTACGTCTGCGCGGATCCCAGAGGAAGAAGACGACGACATCGACTACCTGCAGTGGCTGCTCAACTTGGACGAGCAGGCGTCCGACTCTCAACACGATACGGTACCAACCAGATCTCGGAGGAGCGTCCTCGACTGCGACTGCACTACAGCGACGAAGGCGTGCGCCACCGCTTCTGCACGAATGCTCAGCGGCTCCTGGTCGCCGCACTGGACGACGCCAGCTCCCCCTCCAAGAACGCACAGCTGGCGCGCAAGGCGCTGTGCTACCGGAACATCCTGAGCCGCTTGGACGGACTGGACCCTCGAGACTTGAGCTTCGACGTGTCGTCATTCTTCGGCGTGGAGTGGCACAAGCAGCAGCCCGCAAGGGAAAAGGAGTAGTCCTGGCATGACTCGCTGTGTGGGTGTAGATGTAATGAAGACGTGACCTCGATATAATCTATCGCATGTAGTCGTTTGCTCAGATATCTTGGGTCTACGCACTTACTCATGCCACAGTCCCTCGTTTTTTTTCGTGCTTGCACTCAGGTGTTGATGGAGTAAATGAACCACAGCTTAGGCCCGGGACTACATCGTGGGCTGTACGGGCAGTGACTGGTAAGTTGTAGCGCACGACGGGCGCCGCACGTTCCCGACACAAGGGCTTGAGTCCAGTCTCAGCGGTGGTCGTGATACGACCAACTGGGAGGGTTACTGTACCTACTTGAAACTTCAATAAAAATGATCAGTGAACGGGTGCGCGCTCGAAGGTTGGGTGGATCTGTGGTGCAGCTGACGAAAATGCGAGGCCGAGTCTCAGAGAGAGGTGCCCGACCCCAGTGTGACTGCAAGAAGTGGTGGGTGGAGCCTAGTCGATCAGTTCATGGTGGTTGGACGAGGTGGTGGTGGCTGTAAATAGGTAACGCTGTTAGCATAAGGTTGTTGTGCTAATTTGCGACCGCCGTGTCTGTTCGTTGCTGCCACTCCCCAATCGCACAGGCAACGGGTAGGTAGAACAGTTCGTTCAGCGTGGCATCGTTTCCCATTCCTTCACCGCATCTCGCCATCCCGTCCAACACCGACAAGCATGGAGGACCCTTATTCATGCGACCTGCGTTACCTGGAAGGACGGTGGATATGGTAGGGTTTGTACCGATCTTGGGGAGCTCGCGCTGTGTTGGGTGCTAAGTATCTCTTTGATACAGAAACTTTTGTCGAGAAGCCAAGCTCCTGCAAAGGTCTGCAGTGTTATCGAGCGCCCCCTTCATCAAAAACTATTGGACGTCGGGGAGTGGCTCTCTTCGTCATCATGTGTTAGGATCTTGTGAGTTGGTACGACGAGCGCGGTGTTTCTAGGTATGTGCTGCTTCTCGATTTTGCTGGACCTGGTAGGTCGTGTCGGCGGGCAGTGACATTGATTTTGAACCCTCGCGGGGATGTTTTCACGGTGATCCACTCCCGTATCTCCTGTTCTGGTGCACTCCTGCATTAAGTATCTCTCGTTTATCTACTGGTACTTATACTCTTTACTTATACGACAAGACTTACGGCACCAGAGAGTACAGCTACCGATCCAGGGGTTCATACGGAGAAGGGCGATGCGCTCGTTGCTCAATGTATCTGGTTATATCCTAGCGGCAACGTGATTTTTGTCCTGTTGAGCATGACTCGCTTGGTTGGCCTGGACGCATCGGAATACTACCTCGACATTCGTCGTGGCCTCGGACCCAACTGCATCTCTTCTACAGTTTGTGCGTCACGCGTTCCGAATCGAATGCCTTTTCTCTCCATACTATCAGCGCATGCTGGAGCGAGCTGAAGGCACCATTATATTCGACCGACGTTATGGAGACGTGTATGGATACACTTGACTACAAGCTGCCCGCTGTCGCTTCAAGCATCGTGCTCATAGGCACTGCTTGACGAACACTGTGGGCTATCGCGTTTTAAGCTTAGGTGAGTGGATCCAATACTCTTCCTAGCTGCGCCACCGGATGCAGTCGTTGTGCTTTTTGAGTCTAGGATGTGCATCAAACCTGTACAGAGGCCACTTCCGTCGTCGCCCATGCTTTGAATTGAACCTTCATCATCCTATCCCAAGCCCACGTCTTCACACTTTTCGCCAGTTCACTGTCAACCGCGTTCATTTTGTCGGCTGTCGTGGCGCTTCACCAAAACCATCGCTCGTCAACCGTCAGGGGGCGTCTTGCTCTTTGTGCGCCGTACTAAAGGCACCGTCACAGCTTCGACTGCAGCATCAAGCAGGACGTGAGTGTCACACATGGACCAGGATTACCTTGAGTTGTTGGGGAGGAGCAGCAAAATGCAACCGCTGTAAAGACGGCAGGACTTTCGATGACGCTCTTCGCTCCACTATCACCGCGCAGGGTTTGCTACACGGTCGCTACAACTGAAATAACGAGCGCTCAGTGACCTCAAGACTTGAAGACGAGATCGCTAAGCGCTTGTTATAAGCTTAGTTGTATGTCATCCACACCTTTGGTGAAGTATCGCTCGGTAGTTGCACACCTAGAGTGCCCCCAGCTGCCGATGCTTACCCGAGGTGGGCACATCCATCTCTACATGTATCCGACTTTCGAAGCTGTCGTGCGATGCCTCTCGAAGCATTGCACACAATTGCATTCAAGGCCGATCACCATCAGGAAGCCTTTTGACGGCCTCAATGCAGATCACACACGCGACTTCCCGTCACTAACGCGACGATTTCGACCGTTGAGGCCGGAGCACGTTCAGCACCCCACACCACCCTCACACATGCCCAAGTTCCAAGCGGAGCTTCCCAGTCAACAACCGATTGCTCTGGACTGTTGTCCTTGGAGCTCCTTCCTTCGATGGAGGGATTTCACGCGTCATCCGTCTCCGCGACCCCACGATACTGGAACCCAGCGCATGTCGAAGTGTTCACTCCACCACCAGCTCCACCTCGTTCACAACTCAATCCACCGCCTTGTGGCCGCTAACTACACCCGTTCGCTTCATGGTCGGAACTCGACAGGCCGTAGTCGGAGACGGCTGGACGCCGCTATCCATGAACATGACGCTGAAGTACACCAAGCTGAGCTGCGGCCTCAGCGCCAAAAGCTGCCGCTCTCCGCAGCAACTTGCCGTGGCTCGAACGCAGTTGGACGTGCTCCGAGTGCTGAAGGAGGAGGGGCTGGCTGCAGTCGACGCCAGGGACGCCAAAACGTACGCTTCCGCCTTGGTTCTGGCAGCAAAGAGGGGTCACACCAGCAACGTGCGCTGTCTTCTGGATCGAGGCGTCGGCGTCGACGCCATGGATAAGGACGGGAGTTCTGCACTGCACGTGGTTGCGACCTTCGGTCGACTGGAGATCTGCGAGCTGCTACTGAACGCTGGGGCCGCAGTCAACCGCACAGACGGGAGCTCATGCACGTCGTTGATACTCGCCACAAGACAGGGCCATGCAGACATTGTGCAGGCTTTAGTGGGTCGACGTGCAGCTCTTGAAGTGCAGAACACAAAAGGGGAGACTGCTCTCAGTGTTGCAGTGCAGTGTGGTCAACTGGCAGTCACTCGGCTGCTGCTTAGTGCCGGTGCGAGGGTGGATACGGTGGATGCTGACGGGATGACGCCGCTCATGTTCGCCTCGAGGAACGGCCAATTGGCGCTGGTGGAGCTTCTGGTCGCTCGAGGGGCGAGTCTCGAGAAGTTCTGCAAGTCTGGGTACTCTGCTCTCCACTTCGCAGCTGGACATGGACGACTGGAGGTCGTTCGAGAGCTGCTGAGTGCCGGGGCGGATCTCATGGCGCGTGACAGCGTCAAAGGCTTGACGCCGCTCATGTACGCGGCGGTGCATGGCCACGCCTACATTGTCAAGGACCTGCTGCCCTATTTGTTCCAGTTCGGAGACGACGCCATCGAGACGAAGAGCAAGAAAGGGTGCACAGCTCTGTACCTGGCGGCGGTGAAGCGCCACGTAGCGGTGTGTCAACTGCTGCTGGATGTCGGCGGAGCTGACGTAGATTGTGCCGAGTGGAGGGGGGACACGCCCCTGATGGCTGCTGCCAAGCGAGGGTTCGTGGACGTTGTCGATGTGCTTTTGAGTCGCGGGGCGACTGTCGAGGCGGTCAATGGTGACGGCAACAGGGCGCTGGAGATCGCGGCTCGCAACGGACGAGCTGCAGTGGCCCGACTCTTGCTGGAGAACGGAGCGTTCGTCGACGCGCCCAACAAAACGCGCGGATACACTGCACTCTTCACCGCAGCTCTGCGTGGTCGAATCGAGGTGGTTCACCTGCTTTTGAGTCACGGGGCGAATGTCAAGGCCCAAAGCAGCAACGGGGACACGCCGTTGCTTCTTGCTGCCACTCAAGGGCGACTGGAAGTCGTGCGAGTCCTCCTTGCCAGTGGCGCTGTACCGACAGTCAAGAATGCAGCGGGGGAGACGCCGCTGTCTCGCGCAGTCGCTGGAGGATACGTTGAAGTGGCAGCGCTGCTGAGGATCGCTTCCGGGAACAAGAGCCGAGGAGCTCTCGCACCAAAACCGGCGGTTCGGCAGTCAACTGGGTCTCTCAATGACTACCACAGAGGCAGCCAATGCATCCGACCAGCCTGCAAGGCCCCCGAGACGAGGTCGTGCGGTTAATTTTTATTTTACTAGTTGTCTTTCGACGTGAACACTGCAGCTTTGGTTTTAGGAAACAATGAATCCTAGCTTTTTTAGGATTCAATGAATCCTATTTCTTATAGGTTATCAGGAAAGTATCCTGGTTCAGGAATCCTGAACCCTGAATCGGGATTCCATTATTCTCCGCCGTGTCAAGTAAAGAGGCAGTTGTCTGTGTCATACCACTGCAGCACATACCTCAGATGCATTTACAGGTATGATACCTGTAAATGCATCGTGGTGACTTGAAAGTTTTGCTAACTTCTGACTCAGAAGTACTTCTGAGTCAAAAAATGATGGTACTGTACCACTCAAGTGTGCGGATTACGGGCCTTTGAGTTAGCAAAATGCCAAAAAGACTGCCGAAAGTTTGGATCTTGGTCTTGTACAGCTCGGCACTAGTGTACGATCGTGAACTGCGACTGCGTACTCTGCACTAGTCGCGTGCCCTGGATCTATAAGAACTACAATGTATCCGATAGGACGTGCGCGGCGCGAGGCTCACAACAGCTCACGGTCGGGAAGTTTTCCTCCGAACGACTTTCCTGCCGTCGCCCTTCGAGAGTGGGGCCAACTCGGTCGAAGCCCCCCGCATCAGAAGTCAGAGAGCTCCTCACGATGAATCAAGTGGAAGGTCCAGACACACCCTCAGGCAATCAAAACATTCCCACAGTCGTCTCGAGCCGCTCGAGCGTCGAGCTTTTTCCGGAGGTTAAGTTGAACACAAGTTGTCAACGAAGGTGACACTCTCTGAACAAACTTCAAGCCTATTCCGTTGTTATCCGTGCTAACTAAGAACGAGTTTCAAACGCTAAGGCTGCTTAACTACGCATACAAAATACGTGCGTACGGTTGCCGGCACCGACTACTTACAAGCTGTACATCTTGATCTTCATGAAGATGGCGGCCGTGAGGAAGCCCAGCGTGGTCATGATGCCGCCGAGGAACACCGGCAGCTTGTAGCCGAGCGATGTGTCCACGATGGCCGTGCCGATAGCGAAGTTGAGCAGCTGGCCGAAGCAGTTGGCCGAGTTCAGGGCACCCACGTACATGCCGATCTCGATGTCGTCGCCCATCACGTGGATAATGACCGGCACGATGCAAGAGAACCAGACGGCGGAGGTCATGCCACAGATAGCGACGACGAACACGTCGAAGCCCTTGTTGCTGACCCAGGCCATGATGAGCAGGAACATCTGCGGCACGGTGGACAGCGTGAGCACCCACTTGAGGCCGATCTTGCTTACAAGGAAGGGCAGGCACCACGAGTACACGTAGCCGACAATGTTGTAGGCCAGGTCGGCGTCGCCGCCGGCAAGACTGACACCGTCGTTGTAGGCGTTCTGCTCGTCCGAGCAGGGGTCGCATTTGTCGGCGTTCTCCGACGTTCCGCCGTACACCTCAAGGCCAAAGAACTGCCCCTTGTTGCCGTTGTAGGCCGTGTAGCCGTACTGCACGAAGAAGAAGCCGATAGCGTACACCACCAGCACCGGGGGCAGGGTCTTGATACCAAGCCAAACCGAGTAGAACGCGCCTTTGACCTGGGCCCAAGCAGTGGACTGGGCCAACTTGCTGGGGTCCAACGGCGTCTCGTGGGCGAAAATGGTCGCGACGGCAACGCACACGATCATAATGACGGACAGCGTGCCCATGAACCAGTGCATAGTGAGGTAGGCAGCTCCAAATGCGCGGATGTAGACAGCCACGACGATCGATCCCAGCGTCGACCAGGCCTGGCCGAGAGCGGCACCGGTCGTCTGCCGGTCACCGGCAAAGTCGGCGACGAGCAGCATGGCCGGCGTCTGCACGATGTTGACGGTGATGTCCATCCAGGCGTAGAAAATGATCGTGAACACCGACGTCCACGTGCGGTTGTCGGTGCCAGAGTCGCCGAGAGCTTCGCCGATCTCACTCGTGTAGCCCATGGCGATCCAGCAGATAACGCTGAGGATGCCAGCAACGACAAGGTACGGACGGCGACGGCCGAAGCGGGAGGTGGTGCGATCGCTGAAGACGCCGACACTGGGGCCGACGATGACGCCGACAATGGGGCCGATGAACTGCGTCGCTTGCACGGCGGAGTTCGACAGCATGGTCGACAAGTACGGGCCCAGAGCGGCCCACTGCGCCGACCAGGCCATGTTGATCGCCATACGCGGCATCGACACCGCGAGCAGCAGCCAGATCGACGGGTGGGTGAGCGGCGGCTCGTCGCCTTGGACCGAGCCCGGCTTGGGCGAGGCGTGGAGTTCGTAGCCCGGGGTGCCGGCTTCGATGTCCTTCATGGTTCCGACTGGAGGGCGGTGCTTGGGAGGAAGCAAGTTGAGGAGTGCGAGTCGACCAGGAAGCCGTTCTGCCGTTCGGCAAATCAAATCGGTCAAGGGCTAAAGCCAAGCGTCTTGTTAGGCTCGGTCTCAGTTGAGTTGAAGTCTCGATACATTCGTTAGATCCTAGCTAGAATAGCTACGGCACCGGGCAAGTCGCCAGGACTTGCAGCCTTCCGGCCTAGCACATGTCAAGTCGATCGCCGGGATTCCGCCGAGACTCGGCAGCGCCGAGCTGCACTTTGGTCCTGCAGTAGCCTAACATGTCCAGCCTGTAGGACTGTGGCAGGAAGGAACGATATAGCAAATCCTTGAACAGGACCAGAGTCTTTTTTGCAGGAGCCATCACGCGGCGACGACGATAGATTAATCGTGAGTGGGATCAAAACTGACAGACGGTCTCGGCGTAGCGCTTCACCGGATGGCAATCATTGTTGTGTGGAGGCTTGCACTTGCACTTTGGCTTGAACTTCGCCGTGCAGGCCTCCCCCCCCAGCTTTGTGCAGGTAAACACGCTGGATCGCGTGATGTTTCACAGGCGAGAGTTTGGATCCTGAAGCGACGTGCAGATAGAGCAGTCCAGCCTGCCATGTATATGCGCCAAGGGTCTTCGAAGGAGATGCGGAGCTGCACTGCACCCTGCTCCTGTAGAGCAGAGGTGCTCGTGAAAGTGGCATTGCAGGAAATGGCCGAGCCCGGCCGCTGTTGAGGGTCTTGAGCCGGCCTACCCCGATCTCTTATGCATGTATCGCCACCACTGATGTCAGGCAGGCGCTGGCTGCGTGCTTCAGCGCATTGACAAGAAGGCGACTAGCAGAATGACATGCAACCCTTGCCTATTTAGCGTTAGCCTCCAGCTCAGTATTTATTTATTTATTGCATTCGTCGAACTATAGCACTGTACTACAGTACATCTTGCAGCGCGCAATGCGAGCTGCGCATTGGCGCTGATTTCGACAGACTCTGTGGATGCCCCATCAGTCCGATTCGGATCCGCGCTCTTCGACTCGGATCCCGGAGCCTCCGAGTCCGAGGGTGTGCACATAGTTTCGAGTGCTGTTAAACGATCATCCAACTTCAACTTCCCCTCAAAAACGCCTCCACGCATATCCGATTGCTGAAGTCGATTGCTCTCTGCTTCCCGGAAGGGATATGATTGGCTAGCTCAGAAGAACTCTTGCTCAACGCCGCCAAGGGCTGTGGTAGCTGTCACTGCTCGTGCATGACAAGACCCTAGTGGTTGCCAGCCGAGTGCGTACATTGCTCTCGTGTCATGGAGAATGCATATTGCACTCTGCAAGTCACTGCAGTTCAGGATGGAGGTCTCTTCAATTCGTCTCTGTGCCTTTCTGCAGAGTTGGGCGATTTGTGAACTGGAAATGCCGACGCGCTCGCCGTGTACGGTGTGTACCGCGCTGTTGAAGTTGGCCGCAAATGTACGCCTGATGCGCAAGTACCGGTCACCGGAACGGACGGCGTTACTGCAACATAATTTCGACAACATGACGGCTCTTACAGCGACACGAGAGCAACATATCACTCCCAGAACAGCCCAAAGCAACACAATACACTCTATAAAGCGACTTGAGAAATAATGGCCGGGACGGCCTCAAATCCTTGAAAGATAGTGCCAAGCTCGGGTTAGAGATGCCATGGCGCCTAGAACAAATAGCCTGTTGCCCACGACACCACCCCGAAAAGCTTAGAATATGCTTCATCTTAATGATGCACCCCTTTGACCCCGCTACTTGTTGGGGCTTGCCATGAGCAAGATTCATTTGGTTTGGTATCATGGGTTTGGTTTCACCCCTCCCCAAAACCCTATTCCCCTGCTTATGTTGAGGTAACGACTTCCCCCGGAACGGACAAACTTTACCCAGAGCCACAGCGCGGGTCTCGACTCTCGAGACTTGTTTGGGCGCTGCAGTACATGCGCTGTATCACATACCGAAGATTCTTGCCACGAGTGTACATGTGAAGCGCTGAACGGTTTGTCTATACATGTACGTACATACCCCCCCCCCCCCCCCGTGATCGGCCACGCGAAAAGGACAATTTTAGGACCATTTTCAAATCTGCCTGCTTTTCCAGTGTACTTCGACGAAGCATCGTCGATTCTGACCACCAACTTGATGGCAACAAGCCCTAAATCAAGAACCTCACCCATGATGCTTGGATCCTCTGACACAGGCCCGGTCGAGAGCAAATGGAGATCATGCCCATCGGACCTTCCGAGTTGACATTTGTTGATGCATCACCGCGAGGCCTGCCGGAATGAAGTCAGAACACATCTCCTCAATTCAACCTGCCGATGGGGGCAGCGTGCTGAGCACTATCCTGCCGTCAGACAATCGCAATCCATGTACATGTATTAATACATGCACAGCATGTAAAAGCAACGAGGCTGTGTGCGGCAGTGTTTAACTTCTGCTGGATTCTGTAGCGCTTGGCCGTTCTCCCTAGCGCTGCAAGTCTACTTTGCCCAACTGCAGAACACTTTAGCCATGCCCTTGGTAGTAATAATGCGGCAGATTGCATCGAATGCACTGGATGCTGTTCACCACACGCTCTTCCCACACTCGCTACGTGGACGAGGGATTCCAGCAGTCGCCCTCACACTGTGAGGGCGACTGCTGTGAGGCTCACAGGGATAGAAGACTGCCGGGCCGGTTCACAGAAGTCGACTCGACTTCGCCGTGGGGGCGAGCCCGCCGGATTTGCCTGAACGTGAGCGATTACTTCAACTTGAAGCGTCCAAGCGCTTCCACTCAAATCTGATTGCCTTGTGGTTTGTCCGCACTTCCGGTCGCGAACCCTAAATTACGGGAAAACGTCAAAAGGTGTATGAATTTGAAACATTTTGTCAAAAGCGGTTAACTCGTGTCATTAGGTGTATGCTAGGTTGTCGGTATGATAGTATGTGTATGTGGTTCCAAGCGCACTAAGGAGCATGATAAAGCTGCATCAGCAACGAATGCGGTGACTGGTGTGTGGGCTTAGATCCAAATCCATAAAACCCGGGGTTAGGAAGGCTTCTACCTGATGCAACTAGCCCGGTTCGTGGTGTCCATGACTTTGATAGCGAATTGTACGGCTGAGGGACTACAATGAACGTCGTTATCCATCGTAGCCAGGCCTCAGCGTTGCCACAGTTCTACAATACCTACACTCTCTTCCGGTTGGGGGCTCTCACTAGAGCTCCTTCACCTCCGAAATTCAGATGCAAAAGCTACCTAGTACAGCCATGCTATAGACGCTTGCGGTTTGCGTTGGTAGTTCCTTGAAGCCACAATAGCGAAGTTGTCGAGTACAGTTGCTCTATATGCTATTATTAGTTGACCGTGTTCGCTACGAGCGTGTCGTTAATAAGCTACTGTGCTTGGAAGCTCGATCCTGGGTCGACCTCGGCCGAAATACCGCGGCAACCAAAACGTGTGTCAGTACGTGTGTGATGAGATATGACGCGACGTGACGCCCACGACCACTACACCTATTGACAAAGTTTTCCCAACGTATACACCTTTTGACGTTTTCCCCTAAATTACCCCACAGCTGACCCAAACTGAGCCAAGATCGCCGTGGTTGAAGCAAAATGTTACAGAGCTTTCGCGTTTTGCTCAGGAAAGCCAAGCAGCAGCCCAGATGGTTCAGAAATAGGAGCCCTGCTCAGCTCCTCCCCCTCAAATCTGAAGCAAAGTCTGCTTGGGTAAAAGGCGTCGAAGCGGCGCAACAATGGCCGAGCTCCGAGCTAGTAGCTTGCTATAAATGTGCAGTCGCTCGCAATTCATGCATGTTTTAACTGCAAACGTACACTTGGCAAATTAACCAACAAAATGACGCGAGTTATACAGTCTGTGGCACAGATGCCAGCGCACCAATGGCGTTGCACATAAATCTACGAAGCAAGGTCTCTTTTGTCTCCGCTCTGTCCCTGCAACAACCAACACCGCCGACGCGTCTGAAGCAGCAGCTCATTCCTCAATTTGCTTTCTACAGCAAAGCCTCCTCCTCCACTCGACCCCCGTCTGAAGCGCCCGAGGACTGTTAACAGCACCATGAAGGACATTGAGGCCGGCACTCCCGGCTACGAACTCCACGCGTCTCCCAAGCCGGGCTCCGTCGCCGCCACCGGCAATGAGGAGCCGCTGCCGCACCCGTCAATCTGGCTTGTTTGGTGCGAACGCTCAGTAGTTTGTAAGTTGTTTTGAAAATGTATTCCGTTTTGGTTCCCTTCGTTTTCAGCAAGCATTTTGAAACACCTACAGGCGCACTGCATCACGCCGTGCACTTTTCCTATTCTCATTTGCCACAACGAAACACTGACGTTACGGATACTTTCGATGCTCGATTTCGCTAGTGGCAACGGCGTGACGCAACGACTCGTGGAAACTACTAGTAAATCTAAAGGGGCGTAGATGCCGGTCCTTGTCTGTAGGTTACTACTAGTACTCAAGCAGCTAGTCTAGTAACTTACTAGACTAGCTGCTTGAGTAAATCAAGGAGCTGTAGATGGAATCGGCTGTGCTACACAATAAACAAGAACTTCAGCACACATACATGTAACAAAATGGGAGTTTGATATTTTAGACCACTCCACCCGCTACGACTCCGCTTTCGTCTTTTCCTCCGTCGACCGTGCGTGTGGTTCAACGACGTCTTCTTTTGGCTCCTCTGTAGACTCCACCTTGAGTGCCTCTTTGCTATTCACATCCTCATCAGTCACATTCTCTGATCTCACGGCCTCGCTTTCTTTCTTTGAGACTTCAGCCGTGGCCTCGCTGCTTGCGTTGGTCTCAGTCGTGACATCCGGGGAGACTTCACCCAACGGCTCCGGTGCAGCCTCGCTGGTGCAATGTTCTGAACCACTAGCACAGGGCTTAGCTTCCTCTTCAACATCCTCCATCTTGACGTCGGTATCGTTGCTCTCTTCGTTCGCCTCGACCTCTGTTGATACCGACTTGGGATCTGTTTCAGCAGGGCCAGCTTTGTCACTAGCGCCATTGCTTTCCTCCTGTACACTTGATCTACCGTCTGCGGTCTCGTCGTGTGCACTCGCGTTTCTGTCTTCAGTTTTAACATTCTCCGACTTCGCAGCCATATCAGCGTCATCAGCTTTACCGACGCTCGTTTCAGCTTCCAGCTTGACGCTTGAGACAGCCTTTACCTTGACGTCAGCGGCAACCTTCTTCTGTTCATCGATAGCTTCAGCCTTGACGTCGGATGGCAGTACAACGAACAACTCTTTTTGAACGACGGGGCACTTGGACAGCAGGGGCTCGTAGAATAGCCGACAACCGGCAAATACCGGACTATTCCAAAGCGCTTCAAATATCTCAAATGAAGAGCAGCACTCGCGCAACACACCTAGAGTTTTTCTGAGATATGAGGAGAGCATTGCGTCAACACCAGCTCCAGCACCTCCCTTCTCAACCATAGCGAACAGCGACGACAGCACCATTGCTGTCTTCTCATGGAAAACTTGAATCGGGAAGCTATTTACCACATGCTGTCGTTTGAGCTTCTTTGAGGATGTTTCCCCCTCGTTCTCTTCCTCGGCAGCATCGATTTCACCATCGGCGAAATGCACGACCGACCCTGTCACCTTCTTAGCAGCTAGGATGCGATTTGACAAAACTTCCACGAAAAACTTGTCGAAAATCTGCTTCCACGCTGCCAGTGCTTGCAGCTGCTCGCTTAGCGTCATCGTCACCTCGCCATTTTCTGCAGAGTTCGATCCACCATCGTTACTGTTGGAGCTGTTGCTACTAGCTGCCACCGCCTTCACCTGCTCGAGTAATACTTCTGCCACTGCATGGAGAAGTACGCGATCACGTAGAAGCGATTCGTCCTCAGCTGATACCAAGTGATGAAGCAGCTGGGCCCCCGCATCGATCTGGTTGTCGACTAGACACTGCACAACAAATGACTTAGCCATGGCACGAATCGCCGAGCTCGCACGCAAGACGTTGTCCCAGAGCATGGCCCCAAGGACGTCCTCCTTCGCCTTTGTCTTCAAGTCGCGCTGCAGCCCCGCCGGGAATGCGTAATACACACGGAAACCGACCATCGTACGCAAGAGAAGCGGTAATACAACGCGCATCGTAACCACCTGCGGAGCGCGCAGCACGAAGTCCTGCTTCCGAATCATGCGGCGCACGCTGGAGGGGTTTCCAATTTGAAGAAGCTGTACGAGTGCGCGGCAGATAAGATTGTCCGTGGGAAGCTCTCTCTTTTGCCAGCACAGCACCAGGTTTTTCATAAGAGCGTCACAAATAAGCTGCTTCACGAGCGGGTCCGACAAAATCAGCGCTACATCCGCCAGCATTTCGTTGCACATGCCCTCCGGGATCATTCCTGACTGGTCCACATCTCCGAAATCCTTGATTGTCACGACGCCCGAGCTCGTAAGCATGCTGAGTGCTTCGCTGGTGGGACCAGTTGCAGTCTTGCGGCGTTTTTTCGTGCGAATACGCTGGGGTTCACCGCGCAACGACGTAGCATGTCGCTCAATCAGCTCATTGCCACGCTTCCCGATGCGCTTTCCCTCTTTGTAGAAGATAGTCGTGTCCGGGTTAAACGTCATGCAATTCCGAATCATGAGGTTGAAGTCCGCCACAAAGGAATCGAGGGTTTTGTACTTGCCCCGCTTCGCTTTCTTTCGCATCGTTGATAGGTCCATTGGATCCTTGATGATTTCTCGATACTTGGGCACGTCATCTGGCACTGGTTCCGCAAAAATTAAGCGAGCATCGATCTTTGCAATCTTGTCCAATACAGCAAGCAGCTCGTCCACAGGAGGCGGCCCCAACACCACTTCAAAATTCTCCTCTTCTTCTTCTGCACCACCTTTCTTGCGAAACTTCTTGTTCGGCGGAAGGTCCGCTGTACGTAGTCGGCCAATGAAGCCTAGCAGTTCGTGGAGCTGAGTGATTTCGAGCGTCTGGTTCTTCAACGCGCGATCCAAAAACCAGATAAACTTGTGCAGTGGGTCCGTCCGAAGGAGTGGCGTTGTCTTGTCACGCTGAAGGTTAGCAAGGTCACTGCGCATCGCACCCAGCAGGGATACATAGTCCACATACTCTTTAGGGTGGTTATTTGTAGCGCTACCGGGAATGTTCGCAGTCACAATGTAATTCCGCCAGATCTCCAAAGTTGCCAAATACAATGGCTCTGAGTCGCCAAGCATCTCCACCAGCTTCACCAGCGCAGGGTTATCCCTACGACGTTCATCGGGTGAATACGACGGTCTCCGTTCACTGCTAAATCCAGACGCTGATGCTGACGAGCCAGCAGCATCCGCAGAAGACGGAACGTGACTCGAGACATTCCACAGACTCCCGCCGGCCGATTCATCCAAGCTGCGTTTCCTGTTCTGGTTTCCCGTTCGCATACTATTATTGCTGTTTCTCCTCGATAACGACCGATGGGTCGTCGCTGACCCCGACGTCGGATGGTTGAGATACCACTCGAGCTGGTCAGCCACGTATTCGCGCGTGCACTCCTCCACCAGGAGCTGCAGCTCTCTTCTGTCCACCTGCAAGATTTTTCTCCTGACGTGCACGGGCAATTCGGACAGGATACGCCGGTTCTCCGTCAGCTCGCGCAGGTACAGCTCGGGTGTGTCCTCCTGTCTCGCCAGCACCGCAATCGGAATCGCTCGGAGCTCTCGGAATTCAATGTATGGGAACGTCTGCTCCAGCACGCGGGGCAGCTCGCTCTGAGGCAAATCGGCAATACGTAGCAGCATCTCTTTCTTCATCTGCTCCAGCAGCGACTGGTACACACTGGAGCGAGGCACCTGCAGCAGATCCAGCAGCTGCACAGCAGGAGCGAAGGTCGTTGGTTTCTCCTTCCTCTTCTCCTTCTTGCGCACAAATAGCTGCGCGTGGGCTTCCGCGACGCCGTGGGCCGCCTGGAAGTCGCGGATGGCCACCTCGATGTTGGGTGCTGTACTCAGCAGCTCCTTGACGGCGGCGCCGCCCCGCGCACCGATCAGCAGCTTCTTCTGAGCCTCCTCGGTCGCCGAGGACACGGACATGGAGCGCGGCAGCTTGAGCTTGAGCCGCAGCTTCAGGGCGTCGCCTGCCGCCTCGCTCATACTGCTCTGCACTATGGGGTTCGTCTGGGGGAGCAAGAGCTGGAGCTGGAGCCTTGGAGCCTTGGAGCGGGGCCTTGGACTGACGCTGGCGACTGGCTTGGACTTGTGGAGGAGAGGGGAAATTCAATACTAAGCGGACGCCCAGTGCGGAAGTGCAGAGTGATTGTTTAGACTTGACGTTTGTAAGGGGGATGAAGCGGCTGGTCTATTCGTACTTAAGCTGAGTGCGCACTGCGCAATGCACACCCGGCCATCCAAAGCGCGATCTGTATTGAGCAAGACCAGAAACGCGGGGCAACATGGTGTCGATCCGGAACGCGACGGTGCGTGCGCTGTGCTCCACGTGGGGGCTCGAGCGTTGCGTAGCTGCGTTCCCCACACGCAGATCTACCAGAACGCAGAACGGAGAAGCTCGAAGCCCCCTACAGGCTGCGCAATATCGTGAACTGACGTGGTGGCCCCCCCTCTCGGTGTGTCATTGTAGGCGGACGACCTGCTGCAGGTGCAGAACTCCAACCTCTGGTGCCTGCCCGAGAACTACCAGATGAAGTACTACTACTACCACATCATGACGTGGCCTCAGCTGCTCTACGTGGCTGAGGAGCGCGGCGGCAAGATCGTCGGCTACGTCCTGGCCAAGATGTGCGTCCTCTAAGCCAGCCATCAACACAGGGAGGAAGCTTTGGACTGACGTGACGGCTGTTGCTGCTGCAGGGAGGAGGAGGCGTCGGTGCCGCACGGCCACATCACGTCGCTGGCGGTGCTGCGCACGCACCGCAAGTGCGGCCTGGCCACCAAGCTCATGCAGGCTGCCCGTACGTAGCTGTTCTGCTGAGAAGGAAGGAGGGAATGAGGATGTCTGACAGGTTGATGGTGTCGTTTGCTATTCTACAGAGCGCGCCATGGTGGAGAGCTTTGGCGCCGAGTACGTGTCGCTCCACGTGCGTGAGGGCAACGTGGCGGCTATCCACCTGTACCGCAAGACGCTCAAGTACCAGTACGTGAAGCGATAACATGGATGGTAGCTGGAGTGGGGCGCTGACTTGGATTATGCTTGCTCTGTTGCTGCAGGGTTTACGACATTGAGAAGGGATACTACGCCGACGGAGAGGACGCCTACGACATGCGCATGCCGTTCACGGAGAAGTGCAACCAGGCGTTCGCTTCGCAGGTCAACCGCTTCAAGAAGGTGCTGGCGGAGAAGGATGGCGAGAAGGAGGCCAAGGCTCTCAAGGAGGCTTCTGCTTAATTGCGCAGCACCAGGCTGCGTGCGGCGGAAAGATAAGTGGCGCACTGAAATGGTGGCGACCTGTTAGACGCAATAGTGCTGCTGAGGAGGAGGATACGGCAAGGGTGATCGATGGCTAACGTAGATATTTAGCAGCTGACCGGCCCAGCCCTTTTGTTTTGTTTCTGAGCTGCGAGTATTTGATCTCACCTGCCATGGTAGTAGTACCTTAACAGTGTATGGACGAGTGTGAAGCTACCCTTCAGCTTCCTGTGATGCTAACTCCTTAGTTGTTTCCCCTGAAGTATCGCTAGATGTGGGCACTTCAACTCTTTCGACAGGACTTGTATCTCTGATTTGCTCTGTGGCCGGGGGAACCTCTTGGAGTTTGTGTTTTTCACTCGGTTCTGGTTGCTCGCTTCGCGATGCGGATTCCGCTACTTGGGCCTCAGGAATCGTGGAGCTGATGGGAACGCTTGCATTTGCGTTTTCATCAGCCGTGCTGCCCCCAGATTTGCCTGCAGAAGTATTGGTGGGTACTGCAGTGGGCTCCTCTGCGGGCTCCATAGTGGACACATCGATGTTGTTGATTTCATTCGATGGTGATGCATCCGATGGCAGCTCATGGTGGGTTGCCTTGTCTTCAGGGCCAGGCGTTATACATGTTGAAGTAACTACTTGGGTCTCCGAATGCTGGGCAGACTTGGGTGCTGCTTCGTTAGAATCAGTCTCGCTGACAACGGCACCGTCGCCATCGGCAGCAGTTGAGAAGTCGATCTCGCCACCCAGCGAGGCATCTTCATTGGGCAAACTGCCGGGGTATTCAGTAACGCCATTTGGTTCTTGTGTGGCGTTGTGGTTTTGAGCAGGAGTGAGCTCGACGTCATTTTTTACAGTAGGTCGCTCCGTCGTCTCCGCTCTTACGCGACGTGCTAGCGCACATGCTTCAGTCAGTTCCAGTGTTGTTTTCTTTTGTGTTTCGGCTGGTGTTGCACTTTGAACGGCGTCTTGCTTGGCGGGTTTGCTATTGCGGTCCTTACTTGAACCATGTGCATGTAGGGCCGATCGAGTGGCAATTTGCTTGGGTGGAGATGGAAGGGATCGCAGCCGCGGCCTGGTGTTTTCTTCAACGCCGACGATCTTCACGTTCTCCGTTGGCTTCAGTAATTTTGGAGTCTTGGCAGATTCAGCCTCCAGCATCGGTACCGGAGCGACAACAGCCGTCATTGGTATCGCTACGTGAGTTTTTCGCCTTCGCGTGGAGTGCACGTGGACCCAACAGATCGGACAGAAGTGTAAGCTTTCCTCACACTGCTGGCACTCGAGTACAGCACGCTGATCCCCACACTCCTCGCACCGTCCGCGACGAATTGCACGACCACGAACCATCACAAAGAACTCGGCCCTCAGCTCACGCGCACACTTCCGTCCTTGCATTCCCCGTGCATAGCGTTGTATCGTCATTGTTGCTTGCTGCTCGCGTGTGATGCGAGCTCGCTGTTCCACCTTTCGTTGGGCGATTTCTAGTGCCAACTGAGTGTTTGCCTCGACCTGAGACTCCATTTCGTGGACGCGGCGCTCAACTTGCGCGGTCAAAGCTTTAATTCGCTGCTCAATGTCCTGCTCTAGACTCTTCGTGCGTGCAGCACGCTTCGCTCGCTGCTGTAGCTCGTACAAATCGCGATTAGCGACCACCTCTGACGTGCACACTGGGAAGACGTCGCCCTCGTTCCTGAAATTACTGCGGAACTCTGCTCTATAAAGGTTCTCAATGAACAGAGCCCCGCTGGTAACCAAGTGTGACTGCGTACAATGAGCACGCCACCATTCAGACGCCTCGTCGTCGGTAACAGGCTTAATCGGTTGATGATGCTGTTCTGTGCTTTTGGCTCCTACTAGGAAACGCTGGATTTCTTCGGAGGGCCACAAGGAAGCCAAACAGGAACTGTCTGTTGAACTTGTAGATCCGTCCTCCTTTTGGTTGTCGTGTCCACTGCGAGGCCACACCCAAATGCTGTTCTCGTCCTCCCAAGGACTTTTTGCTACCACCATGCATCGAATATCGCGCTCGTCACCAGCAAGCTGGGTCTGCCACCAATGCTGTTTGTCTAGAACCGAGCACACTGCTCGGCGGTGGTGATTCCAAGCCTGAATCCGTCTCGCTGGATCCCACTTCTCCACTTGACTTGCAGCTTGCTGGTTGTCCTCTTTCGGGGCTGTCATTTGTTCGGGTGCTTCACTTTGAAGGTGCTTCAGACGATTATCACAGCTTGCTATGAGTTGAGCTGACAAGAGATCTCGTTCTGGACGAGAAGCACGAGCTTCGCGCTCGTGGCGATGCACACGCTGCGCAGTGGCGAGCTTCATGGCTACCACCTGCTCGTACAATTCCCGCCGCCGGTTAATGGCTAGCTTTGAGCCCTCCGTCACACCACTACGCTTCTGTTTGGTGGTAGACTCGAGTTTGGCTTTCTCCTGTGCTGCCTTCCGCTTGATGCTGCCACAGCAAATAGCACAAGTGAGATCACCGATGAATTTAACGTGAAGTAGACCATAGGAAGTACACAATGCACATACCGTTCCTGGATTGCCTTGCGTCTTGACACAAATGCTTCATCATCAGCCGATGGAGCCGTGTGGGCTGCAGCAGATGCAGACTGCTCCTTGCTCAAGAAAAGTGAGAGCGAGCGTTGCGATCTATTAGTGGCCTTCTCGTCATGTTTCCATCGACTAAACTGGGCTTTAGCGCCCGAAGTTTCGAGCTCCAAAGGGTTGAACGTGTAGATACGGTCGCTTGGATCAAGGATCACAGTGTTGTCATCATTTAAGGGGGATGCCGACTGGGTCGTAGCGCGCCAAGCTCGTTGAAGCACCCTTGCGGAGTGCTGCTGTTGGAAAACTCGCACCCTCTCTAGGTCTGCTGCACTGGTATGCTGCAAGAAGTAAAGTTCCTGCTCGTTGCGCCAGATCCGGATCTGCCGACGCCTGGTGGCTTGCTGGAAGCTTTCCTACACGGTGTTACCAATACCAATTTCAGCAGACTTGTTAGACATCGCAAGGAACAAAAGCATTTGGAGCTTGGTCTTACTGTACCTGCTCTCGAGAGAACTTTCGCAGTTCAGCAAACTCTCGACGCGAGAAGCGGCCACGCTGCAGAGCCTGAATCTTGGTGACGGCTCTCTGTCCGATGATTCCAACGCACGAGGTGAGTGACAACAGGTCCCGTTACCAGCACTGAGGCAATCAAAAGTTTCTCACAATGCCTCGACGTTGCTGCCGCCGCCATCGAAAGCCTCGGAATCGCGCCTGGATGCAAGTTGCCGCTTGGTTCTCCGTTGACATCGACACCTACTTGGCTTGTGAGCTGCACGAGAGCTCTGAATCTTGAAACGACGCGCCTGCTGAACTAAGGACGGAAGATGGCTACAGCGTTGTGGTCATCATAATATTATTCGGACCGACTACGACTGGCAATTGCAGCCCTCGCTCGCGTTCGAGCTCAAGTTGCTCGCTTGCTCGCTGGTGGCTGTTAGATACTACTATCTATGAAATAATAAGTGGGCGAGGAGCGCAAGCTTCTCGCGAGCTCACCGTCGTCCGCCAGGTGACACACATACACCAAAATTGACGCACCGGGCTATGACAACTAGCTGGGGTCTCGGTATGCTGCTGTACTGCAGCACGAATAGCTTCGAGCTTCACTGGGCTATTTGAGTACTCCTTCGATGCGAGGCGTCAACTTCATCCTTGCTCTCGTTGGGGTGTTGGGCTAGTAAATAAGGTTGAGGGCGGCCTCAATCAAAACTTGACCGGCGCAGCGCGCAGTCCATCGAGTCCACTGACGACGGTGACGTAGCTTCGAGAATAGGCACGAAATCGTCGCTCATCTTGAGGGTCTGCTGGCCCACTCCTTCTTCTTCATCATCGTCCTCCTCCTCGATCAGGACGTTCATGCTCTCGCGGCACAGAAGTTTTGCGATAGTCGGAGTGAACTGGATTCGGGTCGACTCCCGCTCGAGCTCCTCATCAAACTCGTCGTCCGACTCAAAATCGTCGTCGCTCTCACTGTCCGACATGGATTGAGAAACCTCCTTGATGCCGGCGAGCTGCCTCTTTCGCTGCTCCATCTGCCACTGCTGCCGTTGCTGCTCGCGAGCCTTGTCCGATTTGGCCTCCTCCTCCTCCTCGTCGCTTTCACTGTCGCTGAAGCTAAATCGCGAGTTCTCGCGCTGGTCAAGAGTGCTGGAAGCCGTGCTCGAAAGCGCGACCGAGTTGTTCGCAGACTTTTTCCTCTTGTCCAGCGAGTCTCTCTCATCATCGTCGAAATCCATGCGTGAACTCTCACGAGGATCCAAGTGGCTCGACAAGACGCTCAACTTCGAATCATTACCGGTCCAGCGCTTACTTACCCGCTGTCGGTTGTCGTACTCATCCAGATCATCATCATCACCTTCCTGCGGAGCCTGGGGGTTCGACGACCACGACGACATCGAGGACCTTGATGACCGCGATATTCTTGACGTTCTCGAGATCTCCGCCATCTTCATCTTTGAGCGTTCTGAAATCGTCACATAAGCACAAAACGTCAGCCTCACAGTATAGCGCGCTACCAGAGACAATCAACCAACTTCACTTACCGAGCTCTGACCTCATCATGGTGCCGCGATTTGCGTACGATGCATCCATTCCATTTGCAACTGCCACTGGGGGAGGCACTGCAGTCGCCGGGGGCGGTCTGGCCACTGCCGACGGCGACTCTAGGTCGCTGAAGGCCGCGGCGTCTTCGTTCGACGCTCGCTTCGGCAGTGGCGAGGTCACGGGGGAGGCGGACACATCACTGGCAGGTTCCGAGTCATCGATGGACTCGTTTGACGTCGCGCTAGCACTATTGTCCCGGGGCGTCTTGGGCGTGGTGGGGGACCGCTTCTGGTCATCGTCCTTGTCACTTCCCGAACGGTTACTGCCGCCGCTGCTGCCCAGAACAGTTGAATTCACCGGTCGTCCGTCAAAGCGCCTAGCAGATCTGTGGTACTTGTGGTCGCGACGCGAGGCCTTCTTGAACGCCCGCGCTGCGATCTCCTCGGGGGATTCCTCAGCCGGGAGACTCAGGTACGAGTCGCTCATCTGGTGGTTACGCGGTCGGTTGGTGGTGTCTTCACCCTCACCCTGCTCGGGGTGTCGGCTCTGTATCCTGGGCTTGGAGGGGTCAACGAGTCTCATCTGTAGTCGGATGCGGCCCGCGTCCTTCTTGCCGAGCTTGAGATCGACCCACTTGTCGACGGTCGCCGGTCCCTGCAGCGCCAGGTGCTTGAGCGAGATCCAGCACGCGCCGATGGCGGGGGACGACATGAGCCGCGCCGACTTGACGCGGATGCTCAGCACGTCCTCGCTCGGGTCCAGCACGGGGATGTCGAACTTCTCGTTCCAGACGGGGTTGGAGTTCTTGCCCTTCTGCACCTGCGTCTTGAGCACGCGTATGCGGCTGCCCCCGCCGCTGGCGCCCAGGTCCCCTTCGGACGAGGACGTGGGAGGCAGCGGCGTGGTCGGGGGTACGGCCGTGTTGCCCCCGAACGGCGAGTGCAGTAGGCCGCCGAGACTGTGGCTTGAGCCGGACGACGTGAGTCGGAGCGTGTGGCGCGCGAAGGCGCCGCTGCCGCGCACCATCTCGGTGCCGCCCACGTAGAGCTTGCAGTAGGTGCCGTGGCTGGACACATGGCGCAGGTCCTCGGCCGCGTGCACGCGGAGCAGCAGGCGGCACGGCTTGGGCGGGCGGGCGAAGTACGACGAGCTGGACGCCGGCCGCTCGTACGCGGCGTCCATCGCCGAGGAAGAGGAGGACCCCACAATGGGCGGAGAGGCCTACACGGCGAGCAAGCGCGCGAGTACTCGACGGTGCGAGTGACGGCAGGACGAGGCAGGGCGCCGTCCGTCCGTGGAGCTCGAGCTGTTCTCCCTCGCTCTCTCCGGTCTCAGAGACCGAGGGCTGATCTGGCTTTGGCGATGGTGCAGCTGTGTGCGACTTGTGTCATCTCTGTGCGTTCCGCTCTCTGGCACTTTCGCCAGGAGCATAGTGAAGCCTAGTCTGACATACTGAGCGCCAGATCCGTATACTTTAATCAAGATGAAGGATGTGCACGGTCGAGACGGGGCAGAAAATAGGCGACGTTCCGTAATAAGTGGGGACGTCCACATACTCACGTCGATAAGTGCTGTTTCAGAACGATACTCTTTCTGGGACACCCGGCTGATTGATGAAACAGCCGAGAGGTTTTAGCCCACAATCCCTTGCCACAGTGGATCGACACAGCTAACGTAGCATACCAGGCAGCAGCCAAGTTCCGCCGCAGCATGACGTGGAGGATGATGCCGGAGCAAGCAACACGGCGACCTGCGGGGCGCAATCGCGGATTTCTAGGTGTGTGCCCGACAGCTCTTCCTAACCTGCTGCCGCAACGCTCATTTCGCTGGCATTTTGGTGCCGCGAGCCGGCGTTCAAGCGCGTTGAAGCCCTCGCTGATCGAACGAAACCACTGGATATTTTCAGAGATCATCACTTGTAACGGGTCAAGCGGCGCTGGTGCCGATGGAGCGAGCCGCTAACGCACCGCAACGGCCATGCTGACCACCAGCGAGCACTTACAAGACGCACACAGCCAACGAACCGCCCTTACAACGCACCGCCGCCAGCTCGCCGAGATCGACGGTCCTACACCGTTTGAGGTGAGCCCCTTGCTTGATGCATTCGACGCATTGTACATTTCGGGGCGGTGCTCTGCAGGCGCACGTTGGTTGCTCACCGCAGTGACCGCCGCCTCTGGCGACTGAGTTCGTGGCGACAAGGCAACTGGCGCGCCTCCACACCAAGAACGGAGCACTCTCTGCAAACACGGCAAGACGAGCGAGTCGCGCGGGCTCAGCAGCTGTGCTGCAGCGGGCATCCGAGCGGACAACCGCAACTGCGGCAGTCTTTCCGAGCATCTGTCTTGTGCAACGTATGCCCGAAGATTAGTCGAACGCACCACACAATCAACACACAATCCGAGCAGCTCAGCTGAGGCTCACCTCGTTGCAGTGGCGGCGGTCCATGGCCGGCGACGACGCTGTGGCCGAGGCGCCGTTCTGCGTCGCGTGCCGCCGCTCGAGCGCCGTCAAGTGGCGGAAGCACGTCTTCTCTCGCGGCCACCAGCGCGCGGCGCAGCAGTTCCTTCTGCGGCACGCGGGCAAACTGCAGGAGCTCTGCGATGCCGCGACCACCACAGCACTCGCGTCCGATGTGAACTGGTGGCGCTGCGTCTTCTGCGACGTAGCGCTGGCCACGGCCGACGCAGTGGCGCACTTCGGTGGAGACGGGCACAGGGCGCAGGTGGAGGCGTTCTGCCGCCACCACCGCTGCGATGCGGACCGCCAGACGAGGCCCCAGCTCTGGCTGCAGGCGGCCAAGCGGCGAGAGGTACGCTGCTGCTCTCCTCAAGGTGGAGTGAACCGGTGGAGTGAACCGGTGGAGTCTCACGGCTGTTGCTCTGCGTGGAGCAGCTTGAGGCGGCCCTGAACAATGGACGAGCTGCAGAGGAACAACAGGCTGCAGAGCAGAAGCAGGAGCTGGAGCCGGTGGACCAGGCAGCGAGTGAACGGGTCGAGGCGTTTTTGTCGTCCGCTGCCTCCAGGCTGCAAGAAGTGCAGATGGAGAGACGGTGGACTGTGGAGGATACTAATGCTGCGGTGGGGCCGGCGACCCGAAAACATCAGCAGGAGGCTCTGTTGGGACCACAGTTGGCGCTGGCCACGGCACCGAGTCGCTCCAAAACCGTCTCGTCGGCTGAAGGAGTGCTGCAGAACCCTCTTGGTCGGCACGAAGGCAAGCGTGTGTGGGGAGGCGGCATTGTAAAGCTGCGGAAGAGCGAGTGGATACCGTGGGCGATAGATCAACTCGTAAAGGAGGAGCAGGCTGACCACCCGGAAACGCAGCACGCCGGGAAGGACGGCCCCGCGTTTGTGCATCGCGTGACTGAGCTTGCGCGAGGCGAAGGACTGAGCTCAATTGCGTCGGTGTCGTGGGGAGCTGGTGTGGGGAATGTACACACGGCGGCGGTGCCACCCTGGATGGTGCAGACAGAGGAGGAGTACAAGAAGTGCAACCTCCGCGAGCAAGCTGCACCAACATCGTCTTCACTGACCAAGACGGCAGACGACAGAGCTGAAGCAACAACCACCAAGCGGCGAGATATCTTCTCGGAGCTCCAATCGAAGTCGGAGTACGGCCCAGATTGGCTACCGAACTTCGGTGGGGTATGGCAGGAGGGACCTCGCTCCAAAACGAAGCAAGCTTTCAGAAAAGCAACAGGGGTAACAAAACCTTCGCGCGACCAAACTTCCCTTCGGCCGACGGAGCACCAAAAACCAAGGATGCCATTGCAAACTGGTGCACCGCCCACAAAGTCATTGTCGCAACCTTTGCCGCCAAGACCACCGCCAGCACCGACAGCAGATCAGCAGCACACTGGAAATCACGTGTTGAGTCCTGATGCGGTGCCGATAAAGCCGCAACGAGAGGCACCAGTGTTACCATCGCAAGCGCCCGCAACGGATAATAGTAAGACAGCAGACCCATTAGACGCCAAGAAGCAAGCGCTGTTGGCCCAAAAAGAACGCTTGCGCGCAAAGATGGCAGCGCGACGGAGGAAACAATAAGATAATAGAAGTAGTAAAGGACTACGCTGCCGTCCATTTAAACCGTCGACCACATTTGCTTGCTTGCCGCCTCGAAGTGAGAATTCTTCTCCGTACGAAGGTTCATGGAGGCTGCCAGTAGGTCGCACAGGTCTGACATACTCATTTGGGACGGCCCACGCTTCACAAGACCTCCGTCACACAGGACCGGGTTGTCGTCCACCTTCACGGTGCAAGGGATGGATAGCACGTAGCGGGCCAGCCGCGCCAGGAAAGGGTACTTCATGCGCATATTTTGCCACCACTCCAACGGGTTGGCACGCAACACGATACGACCTTCTTCTTGGAAAAACGATACCTCCACCTCCAGCAGGTTGCTCGACTTGGTGATCTCCAACGAGGATTTAGAGCTCAGCAGCATTTCTTCTTGTGCGCACGATGCTAGGTTCGCTTGGAGATCATCCCACAGGTCGGTGCTTTTCCCCACACCGCTCCCATCCAAGTGGCTGTTGTCTTCGTCCAAAGAGATCGAGCTGTCACCAATATCATTTCCGCTCTCCTTGTCTTTCATCTTGGTGCCAGCAATGTTTGCAGCCTCCGATTTGACGATATCCCAGAACTCGTGTTGGGGTAGCGAACCCTTGATAATGAACGACCGCGTCCGAGGGTCCAAAATTGTAGCAGACCACAACAGGTTGAAGGTTTGACGCTTCTCCACGCTCCAGCTATCATCTGGAACCGAGAACAAATGCCCGAAGCACGCAGACAAGTTGGCAAACGCTAAATCTCTCAGCGCCTCGATGTCTTCTGGTACTTCTTCCAATGCCTCCGTGTTGCTCTTTTTGGCAAGGTTGCTTCCAGATGCGGCGTTGGAGGGGCCAATACCGACTGTATTAGAGTCACGTAGCTTTTCAATCAGCGTAAAAACTGAGGGAACGATCAGCGACGACACAACATACTTCTCGCCATCCAACTTCGCAGTGGCCTCGGCGAATGGCTTCAGTATCACCGTGAGGTAGCGAACTCGGGCCCACTCGTACCGAGTTAACGATGACAACTGGATGAGCTTAGAGAAGTCCGAGTCATTGTCCTTGTGCAACAAGAAATACTTCTTGAGTGCCGCTCTCATGTCTTCAACAAACGCGAGTACGGAATGAATCCCGCCCACCGATATCGCCATTTCTCGCAAGCGGTCGGTGAACAAACGTTCAAACGAGTCAGCGCTCATAGTCGATTGTTCCACCGCTAACCTCCGCAGCACCACTCGCGACTTTGGTGCTTGCTTGAAATGCGCTACCAAGTACATGACTTTGTTCATGAGGTCGCGGTACGTATGCCCCGTAAGACTCGTAGGCAGTTCTTCCAAAATACTGGAAGTAGTCTCCACTGCCGACACGCCGCAAAAAGCGTCACTTGACGAACCCACCGCCATTGCCGCAGAGCTGCTCTCGACGTATTCACCTTGATCTAGTCGCCGACATTGGAAACCCGTAGAACCAGCAATGTCTGCGTCGGCGACTACGTTGCTACCTAGGCAGTAGCTGCCACATACGTCAACTCCATTAATCGTTGCAATCATGATTTGTTGTAGCACCGTTGGGACACTCTCCAAGAGATGCAGCTTATGGTCCGTCCAAGAGGGGTCGTATCCGCTACACGGGGGTTCCACAGCGAGAAGTTGGGGCATGTATCGACAAGGTTGGACACGACACATCGCCTTCTTCAGCTCTTTGTCTCCTGCCAGCTCCGCCGCAACCGATTTGCCTTGGCCTATGCGGTAGCTGCCTATCGACGAGACGTGCAGACACCGCCGGAAAGGATTGAACTCTTGGTCCAGCCCAACCGCAAACAGCGCAAGAAACACCATGTCATTGTCGCCGCGAGGAGAATATCCTGCGGGCGACGCAGATTCTAGCGCAGATCTAGATTGTTCACCAGTTGAATTCGATGATCGCCATTCAGATATCATGAGGTGCGAGAAGTCCGTCATCTTCATCTGCATGACAGTGCGCACCTTGACCTCCGCAGCCAGCTTCTTCGCGTAGCCAAACGCGATCTCCTTCGCAAACATGGCAAAGCTGTTGGAGTCGTCCATGTATCCACCCTCGCCTCCAGAGCACTCCACCATAAGATTTCGAAACGCATGGCTCGAGCACAACTCGAATGGCAGCATTTCGTACAGACAGAGGTACCCCAACGCCTCGCGCACCTTCTCGGGGTTAAAGTTGCCAGATCCAGCGACGCTCGAGACCCCAGCAGCCCCAACTCCAGCTACAGCTGCCGCCGCCGGTCGACTCGCTGCTTGATGCTGCTGATGCAATGAGCTCCCCACTGTAGCCAGCGAATAGTCCGCGAACAAGTGCGTCTGGTGCTCTCCTCGCTTCGCCTTCTTCGCCACAGGCGTGCGAATTGTAGTCGTTGACTGCGCACCGCCGTCTTCAAATTGTGTCTGCACCTTGGCCACATCTTGCTCACCGTTGACAGCCGTAGCATCAGCTGACACCGCAACATCAGCACCAGTGGGCAGAGCCTGCGCTACCACCTTCTTCTTCCTGCCTCTCTTCTTGATGCCCATCACGCGGTGCATCTGCACGCTCTTCTTCTCGCCCGCGTGCTTCGCGTACACGTCCGGGTGGTTCTCCTTCAGGTGGCGCCACAGATTGGACGTCACGCTCTTGCTGAAGCGCACGCACGTCTTGCGCTCGAGTTTGCCCTGCTGCCGGCACAGCTTGCACTTGGCGATGGACGACTCCTCCCGCTTCTTGGCGCTGAAGCTCTCCTCCACCTCGTACCAGCGGTACACGGCCGACACGTTGCTGGAGCCTGCGGCTTTGGGCTTCGGGCCGGCGGTGGCGGCGGCGGCTCCTGCAGCTGTTGGGACTGATCCTGTTGTTGCTGTTGCTGGCTGGGAGCTGGCGCTGCTGTCGAGGGGAGTGGCGGCCGCTGACGCTGCGTCGGGGGCGGCGAGGAGCTCGGGGGCGTGTCTGAGCGGGGCCTCGGCGGTGGTGAGTAGCGCCAGCGCCTCCTCGTCGTCCTTGGACGCGTCGATGGCCAGCGTCATGTCGACGACCTGCTCGGCCGCGGAGTCCGCATAGAGGGCGGAAGTTGGAGTGCCCGGCGCTAGGTGCGATGACATCGAATCGCGGAGGCCGGCGGCGATTCAATGGTGAATTTTGCAGTGGAATGAATTGTGGAGGTTGTGGATTGTTGATAATATAGTTTAATTCATTGAATTTTATAGTAAAGTGTATTAAGTTTACAAAAGAAGGCTCTATCCAGAAACGGGACGAAGGCCCCCAACGATTTCTGAATGACCGTGGGTTTGCTTGCTGTAAGCATCCAGAGAAAGGGGGTACTATTAATTGTCTGCAGTTTCCCAGCCAAGTCACTTTAGCAATTGTTTTTGACAGCAACGATTCAAAGCGAGATGGTTGGACCGGTGGTTAAGTGTTGGCTCCGCTGCTGAGTACGTGTTAGTCCTACCAAAGCTGTGCGCAGGAAAAAAGAGATATTTGTGTGCAGCACACCAAATATTGAACAGAATGTGTACTCTCTTTGGTGGGATGTCCCGACCTTGGGATTTTCCCCTTCACAGCCTCTCTCAGTCCCAAGCCGGGACGAGATTAAGGGTACTCACGCGGCGGTGTGGGCTGACGTGCTACGCACACTGCAGATACACACAGCTTGAGCATTCGCTTTCTAGATTATCTAGCTTTCTTTATAGATGACAGCATTCCTACTGGCTTACAACCATGTGGTTCTCATTGTCAGGATGCAGTCAAAGCCCCACATTAGAGGTCTAAAGTTCAAGTTGTACCCATTGCCAATCTATGCAAACAACACCGCGCAAAATGTATAGCCCCACAAAGGGGCGAGAAAATCAAAAAGCCGCGACCGCGGAGCTTTCATTTGCAGACTCTCCGCATCCAGCTCAAGCCGCCCAAGCCACCCCAGACCCCAACCCACCAGCCCACCAGCCATGCCCTCCAGCAGAGCCCCATCCTCGAAAGCCAAGCCATTGGCGGCCCCTTGCCCGCAGCTGCCACGTCCGGTGGACGTCCACGCGGCGCGCGGCTTGCAGCGCACCACGTTCGACGGTGTGATGGTCATCACGTCCAACGCGCCAGACACGTTGGCGTGGTGCATGTCCGTGCATCTGGTGCCCTCGTCACTCCTGTGCCCCAAGTGCACACACGCGATGCGGTTGGACGTCACGCACGAGCGTTGGCGCTGCTCGCGCGCGGCGTGCCGCACGGAACGGAGCGTCCGCACGGGCTCCTTCTTTGCGAAGAACAAGCTCCCGCTGCGTAAGCTCGTCCGCCTGCTCCTCCACTGGTGTGCGCGTACGGCCGTCACCTCCGCCGCGCACATGGTGGGGGTGAACGAGCAGGCAGCGATGCAATGGTACACTTATTGCAGAGACATCTGCTCGAAGGAAACGCTCTCCATCCCGATGGAGGTTGGGGGCGAGGGTCACGTCGTGGAGATCGACGAAACCTCGCTCAAGAAAAAGTCGAAGTATAACAGGGGCCGCCGCTTCCCCGACTACTAGCTGTTCGGCGGCGTCGACCGCACAACGAACCGCTGGTTCGGCATCGTGACGTACGAGGATCGCACGAAGCCCACGTTGTCCGCGCTGATCAAGAAGCACATCAAGGCCGGGTACGTCACTTTTTTCTGGTGTAATTATTTACTTTTATTATCTATTTGCTAATTTTCAATAATTTGTTTTATTGTAGAACGACAATTATAAGTGATCAATTCGCATCGTACGTCTCCGTCATTGGCAAGCACACCCTTGCCAACAACCGCCTGCTCCGTGACAAGAACTACAAGCACCTGTGGGTTAACCACAGCGAGACCTACGTGGACCCGGTCACAGGCGCCCACACGAACCGGATTGAGGGCGCTGGGAGATCCGGGTGAAGCACCACGTTAAGGTGTGACTCTATACTACATATCAACTGTATTGTTGTTTAGCGCTGACTGTTTTTCTGTAGGCAATGCGTGGCATGAAAAAGACCCTTCTTCCCATGTACTTGAACGAGTATCTGTGGCGGAGCTCGTTCACCCCGCCGCAGGCCACGCCGACGGATTTGCTGCGCTCGCTGGTGACGGGCATCGTGAAGTACTACTACTGATACATAGTTGGCAAGGCAGCATACATGTAATCTGTAATCAAAAGATTGTTGCCTTTGTAGCTCAATATCTAAATTTGTAGCTTCTAACCTAGACTTGTGCCGTTTACTCTAGCAGTATACTAGTGCTAGGTTACTTCTCATTGCACTCCGTCCGGCCAACTTTGCCTAGCTAGGTGGCAGACTTTGTCCGTTTATCGAATCGGTGCAGTTGATGGATGGCGACCTGTACTGGTGTGCTGTTATGATAGTGATATTACTTTGGTTTTGCACTATTTTAATTGATACTAAACTATCGACGCAAATCACTATTGTAGATGCCTCAAACGCCGCGCGTCTTCATCGTGTGCCAACACCAAGATTCCCTGCGTGAGTGTGCGTCGTTTTGTGGGATGATCTCGGTGAACAATGCCCTTCACCAACGCGACTTCCTCAGGCGGGCCTCCATCAGGCACATCGTGCTCAAGCTCAAGGAGAGCGAGCCGGCCGTCGGCCATGGTCATGTGCGGGACGGTGCCTAATCGACGCATGCACTGCACATCGGCCTCCAGCAAATGGACACGTGGCTATTTTATTTGAGCAAGCGCTTTCGCGGTAGGCCGCGCGGTCGAGCATCGCGGTTCGTCGGCTCCCGCCGGTCAACCCTGCTCACCATCGGTCAGCGGTCCAGACAGCAACCCAGCGCCTGGAACTACATTGTCCGTGCTCGGATTGGTACTTGGTGACTCTTCATTGAGCACCACCACTACAAATACTTTGCTAACGTTGTGGAGAAGCCGAGTGTCTAGTTCTAGCACATTGACGGCGTCTACGTTATCAAGAACAACTGAATCATTAAAAATAAGTTTAAAGGTAGATACGTAGATAACACTTTGATGAAAATCACGAATTTTGCATTTCTTGGTTGTCAATTAGTTTTTTCCCCAGTAAATGATCATGTTATCAAAATAATTAAAGTAGTTTGCCAAACTCTTGCAGACATTTTAGCGCTTTTTGTACGTTTTTTATGGTTTATCATTTAATTTGTAACTTAACGCTTAAATATTAGTTTTGTATTTTTACCGGAACCATTGAAAGTGTGCTATGAAGAAAGTCTAGAAAACGTTTGAGGGTTAAATTGAGAGAATTTTCGATCATTTTGTTTTTATTTAGACCTGTTTAGTGCAGTGCACGAAAGCCCCCACAAATGCACTAACGTACTTTAGTGCACGTACTAATGTCCAGCATCAGTGTGTGCAGGTGCCCCAAAAGTGCACTAAAGTACTTTAGTGCATTTGTGGGGACTTTCGTGCACTGCACTAAACCGCTCTATTTTTATTCACACTATGTTAGTTAGTTGACAAATACGTTATCGCAACTTACAAAACATGGGCTACGTCAGTGACTTCGTGAAGATATCTGCTACCTTTTCTTTGGTCTGTCATTATCTTATTTCGATTCCACTTTTTCTTGCACAAAACAGTAGCAAATGAGGCGAGGCCGATGAAATCTTTGTCGCCCAGGGGTTCGTATAGCGAAGCCCAAGACTGTTCCCCAGGGTGTAGACCCAGCGAATCGACTTGAGAGTCAACAGCAAGAAGATAGACCCATAGATTCGCAGCCGCGAAGCTTTAAACCCTGAAAATCACACTCCTTGGTTGGCGTGGGTACTGTAACAGGGTTACACGCACAAGTGGCTACAGTCACTTGTAACTCTAACAGATACGACGTCTGTTAGAAGACTTTCTCGACCTTGGTGTAGACACACCAAAGGCTACATACATTTACGACCACCACGACGGGTGGTCCATAGAGACTTAGGATTCCTATAGGCTGAGAGCAGCATCTCTTAGCCAATGAGCGACATGCATAGCATTGGAATTCTGCCAACCAGCCGTTGGCAGATTCCTATCTTAGAATATTACATTTAGAGGAAGTCAGAAACATAAAACAAAAATAGCAGTTCTCATTTTAACCCAAAAACATTATTTGGATCGTTTATTTAGATTAATCTATACTCGGAGGCCCGAGTATAATTAACTCTAATTTAAACTAAGCTACGCTTCCTCACATACACGCGCACACGTGTAAGCTAAAGTAGTGAGCCAAAGTAGGCCCATTACAGGTACCTTGTGTAATCCCTGCCGGCTCGTTTGTCTTCGACGGAACGGTACTCCACCGGTTGTAAATGTAGCCTCGAAGAAGTGCGGGAGTGCACGTCTACTTCAGAGCACACCTCCACACCAAAGGCAAACCCAGAGAATCAGATCCCCCGAAACCCAGAATATCACGAATTTAGGGTCCAGGATTTCAGTCAACTCCGGGACCTGGAACTCAGAAGACACCTTACCCAAATGCCCTCCTAGCTCGATAAAACCAGCAAATACAGAGTATACAAACACTACAACTAGCCGTCACTTATTCTTTTGGACCCTTGGACGGTGGGTCAGACACACACTAGGCTCACTCGAGTCTGAAATTCAGGGGCCTAGCTCCCCTGAGACTCACACAAACGCGCACCACCTCCAATAAAGGAGGAAAATACAATCACTATTAGTTACCTTCCCTTCACACAAGCAGTCAATACAAAATCCTGGAGGCGACTACTTCTCTGGGCCACCGAAGAAACAACAACTCGTTCCCGACGTCGTATCTCAGTCTGTTCTTGCATCTTATACGCAAGCAGGGCCTTAAATAAAGCCGGGCTCACGCTGCACCCCACTGTATTTTTTAAAGCTCAATAACAAGCGATTTGAGCGAAATAACACTAACTTTGAACACGCTCATACGCAGTGAATAAGTTTTTTTTGCGCATCTTCGTCAATATTTGGCGATAATAGCCAAAGCGCATACGTGGTCAATCTACACGACTGGGCGATTGCATTCAATGCTTATCTGAACGCTGGCGAGGTAGGGATAGCATCGTACAAGCGGCTAAAGAAGTGAGGTTTTTACCCTGATAAGTAGATATGTCACGAAAAACATTTAACGCGCTCCAATTTCAACCAATCAAGGTGGGCTCCGAATTAAACCAAGAATTAAACAGTTGATGGGGGCGAATTATTTTAGATTTTATTGCAACTGTTTTAATGTTACTTTGCCGGCTTCGTAGACAGTGGAATCACATGCAATTGAGCTTGGTATGATTCCTCTCTTGATGTACAGCTTGCTCACGCGAGGTAGCTGGAAATTGTTGTCACCCGCAGCCTTGATGATACACTCCATCACCTTTTGGAGCGTTACGAAGCTTTTGTCCAGCGTTCGACTCGGCAACTGCCCGAACGCAGCTAGTACTACCCCAATGAGGGCGTCCACCTTGTAGGTAGGCTGTTGATATTGCACCGACTGGATCGCGGAGAAGACTGAGAGGTCTAAAACATTGAGGTCCGGCGACTTGGGCGGCTGATACTCCATGCGGATATCCCATGGACGTTCTTGCCCGGCTAGTTGAACTGCTGCCCTCGAAGCCGCTGCGTGAGGACTCGCATTGTCGTGCTGCACACGAATTCGCCGACTTCTGCCTCCTGCATGAAATAGAATTAATGTACATGTCGTTAGCTTTAACAATAAACACTCAAATACAAAAATAATGACAAACCTGGCCACTTCGCGTGAATTGCTGGAAATAATTTTGTCACCAAAATATTTTCGTACTCGTTCGAGGTCATTGAAACATTTTTAGTCTCCCAGGTACCAGCTAAACGGTTAACCGAAGTCCGTTTTGCTTGTACGCGCTCAACCACAGGTCAAATGCCTATTTTTCCATCGAAAAACTTACGGCGGAAAAATCATAGCGGGGCCTAGCGACTGCCGCCAAGAACATTACTTTACCTATATACCGTTTGTTGACCGATGTGTTGTGGGGTAGATCTTCGCAAGGTGCCATGTAGTAGTGGGTTGATCCTTTGTACATATTGAACCACTTTTCGTCGATATGTACGACATCGTACATATCGACGAAAATTGGCCGTCTAAGACCTGTACAAAATAAAATAATAATACAGCAACAAGGTTATTAGATATCCAACCGCTTGTACAAAATAAAAAAAATGCTCATACCTGGGGGTTGCCGAACGTGGCGTAGTGCGAATGCCAGACGTCGTTTCTTGTGCTCAGGCGTGAGACGAGGCTTGACAGTTGAAAAACTCCGGCGCAATAACCCCATTTTAAGGTAGCACCGAAGGGTGGTGCGGGAGACCTTCACGGCGGCAGCAAGGGACCGCTGGTTCTGCCGAAGAGGCAACGGCACTGCTGCCACCTTGGTGGCGATGCCGGGGTGGTGGATGCCGCTTGATCGGCGGCGATTTGGCTGCAGCAGCACGTCTGGCGTGTGGCGCAAGTCCCATATGCGCGCGACCGTGTCCCGGTGACACAAAAAGTAACGGCTGGTGGCAGCCTTGGCGCCTAAGGGGAGCCGGCCACCCACGGCTAGGTTCGAGAGGTGGAGAAGGTTGGCGAGTTTCTTCTGAGAGGAGCTTGGGGTGACATCCCATTGTGATGTTGAGTGCTCGGGGCTTGGCAGGAACATGGTTTGTGTGGTGCCCCCCGACGTTTTAGCGCGCGCTAAGTAACCTAACCCTAACGTATTTTTGACAAATGAATGTGAGCCTGAAAAAACCTCGCTAAACTAAAAACCTCAATGTTGTTTCTTAGGTGGCCCAGAGAAGTACCTAGCACCCCAGAATACCCTCTGGAATAATATGAAATGGGCTACCACGAGCACAGCAAGTGACCCAACGAGGATATGGAATAGATGGATCACTCCAGGAAGCTCAAGGCCGTCGCTGGTCCCCACCTAACTGGACTTGAGTTGATGGAGTCCACACAGACGGCTGTCCTTCGCCGTTGATGTGCCCTTAGCGTCCCGCGGTCGTAGTCTCGGGTCCTCCGGATTTCCGTCGGCAGGCTTGGCCGAAGTCACTTGCGCAGTACAGGGAAAATTGAACTCTGTTTGGCTTTTATCAGCTACTTCTCTCTCTCTCTCTCTCTCTCTCTCTCTCTCTCTCTCTCTCTCTCTCTCTCTCTCTCTCTCTCTTACTTCTTCGGGCAAATATCTTCTGTTCACTATGCTTGGGGTCAAATGTCTTGTCTTGAGTATACCTTGGGTTCAGCGGTCCAAACTTGCGATCGGCTTGCGAATTCATTGTCGCACGGCGTCGAAAGTGCCAAATGTGGGTCCTTGGACTTGGTTTAGTATGGTGCAGGACTCCCTCTCGACTCCTCGAAAGTATTCAGTCTGCGCATCCACAACGGTTCTTCAAGGTCACGCATCACTTTGATTGCAGACTGACTTCGAACTGACTCGAATCCCTGAGAATCAGGTGACACTCAGGGTCATCTTCTGAAATCCTGGGAATTCTGAGGAATCTTGGGGAACTGTAGGGATTCTTGGGTGTTGGCTTGGGAAACACTTAAGCTCAGTATAGAGAGTCTGGATTTATGGTCCAAACCCAGAGAATCATCTTTGGAACTCTGGGTCACCTGCACTCAGGGAGGTGAACTCTGGGTCATCGTACGGCACTCTGGGTAACAAGTCTGCTGCATTGCAGGCTCGCGTGTATCTCCACAAAGCCACACTTTTAGCGGGTTTAGCGGCCTCCTGCGCATGATCATGGTGGTAGTGGGTTGATTCTCAGGGTAATTTGATCCTCTGGGGCACTCTGAGCCACAGCAAGATGAGGTTCACTCTGGGATACATTCGCCAGAGACACTTTCCGCCAGACTTTAGGCACTCATCGTAGGCTGGACTGAGTGTTCTCTGAAATCCTGGGCGTGCACTCCCAGGATTCACACTTCCAGCCAGTTGGGCCCATCTGTGGTCAGGCGCTGGATTCATCCCGAGAAATCACTTCTCTCCCACAATCACCATCCATGTCACACGGGTACAGCCGCGCCGTATCCAACTCATCCACCAATCACCATCCGATACAAACTCCAAGTCATTTCTACAATGGCATGTCGTCGCCGAAAAACTGAGAACCGCCTCGTGTCACAAATATGAATGTGCTTGCTTCTATTATGCAATTCTGGATTGTATGAGAGGTAGATACAACTTGCTTGTCTCCATATATTGTGATAACATGCATGCCGTTATGGTTCAGCCCAACAACAGTAGGTTTAACACCATGAGTTCCTGCAAATAGTGGTACAGGGCTATGCATTCTGCCTCCGTGCTGCCGTGTGTAGTGTTTCCAAGATTACCAGGAGATGGGGCTTCCACACGCCAAAATAGTAAAAACACACAGTCATACAAGTGCAGCACACACCATGTTTGTATGCCACACAGATAATGCATAAAGAGGTGACCGAACCAGCGGGAGGACAAAGACGATCCATTCAGCGGCAGGCCCCTCGGCCTCATTGAGCTCAGTTGCAAGTCGGCATCAGGGACAACAAGCATCAATGGCGCGGCATGCTACGACAGGCAGCGCTAGCTCGGCGGCAACCTCGTACAGGCCAGCAGCGGCCAGACCAAGAGCGCGGCGCGCTGGGAGATGTTGCTCCGCTGAGTAATTGCGCATGGCTTGCGCAGGCGAGTTTAAGGATTAAACTTGTCTGGCCCGGTACCGCTCTAGCTGATGGCTGCTCACCATGATTTAGCCTTGTGATGTGTCTACTTGCAGGCATGGTTGGCATTACTTCGAATGTAGAGAAAAAACTATATTGTTAATCAAAGTAATCTTGATCCTCCTGTGCTACTTTCTGTCGTTCTAGCTCTTACTCTTCTTTGACTTCTGGGTCAATGTAGGCTTCATCGCTTGCACTACCTGTACTTCTTGATCTCGCTCGACCACAGATATTCGTGAGAGTGGTCAGGTTGGTTCCCATGTAGTGAGGAATACGATCCGGCCATCTGACTTCATTTCGTCGAGAATGGCGCGCATCGGGTAGGTTTACCGGCCGCTAAGGTCAACCCCAGCCGGAAGTACCCACTACTTCAAGACAACCTGTAGGAGGAGGAAGACGCGCTAGGGGCTGGTGGGGAGAATCCAAAAGGGCTGGCTTCTCCCCAAGCCTAAGCTCCTGCAGCCATTCACGTGGCTGGAGCACCTAATATTAATATCCGTTCTAATCTGTTCTAGCTCTAATTCTGATCTACTGCTATAATCTGTTACACTCACCCCTTCATACTTGGATGGGCCTGCATATGTAATCTAGGACGTCTTCGATTCTTGTCTTATTTTGGCCTCGTCTTCTTGTCTTGTGCGCAGGTCTTGTCCTTGGTGCACGCGTTCGCCTTGACCTTGGTTCTCGTGCTCGCCACTTGCCAACTTGCGCCGCTCCGCCGCCTTTGTGCGCTCGCCGTCCTTCTCGCTCCAGCCTTGCGCGTAGAATCCGCTCATCGGGTTGCCATGGTTTGAGCTTTGCCGGTCGTTGCGCGCGCGAATGTCGACTTGACGGCTCGCCAGATCCAGCATCCACTTGAGCTCGCTCGTCGCCAAGCTGCCGCTGCCGCTGCTGCTGCTTCCGCCGCCGCCGAACGCCGCTACGCCGTGTGGTCCATCGTCAATCGCCGCGGTGTCGAAGGTTCCTACGAATATCGAGTTATTTGGGCGGGTTACACCGGTTCGGCTAGTCGTACCTGGGAGCCTCGTGAGTGGTTACTCGCCGAGCGCTCCGATTTCAGCGAAGCGATCCAGCTCGTAGACGACTGGAAGGATTCCGGGCTGTCCGTCAGCTTCATCCGTTTCTGTCGCGATCGTGGCCTCCCGCTGTCCATCGACGCCGATAAATGTGGGCTGTGTGGCGTTGCTGCTCTCGCCGCTGCTGCTCGCGCGCTGGGCCTGCTCGGCTGGTCCTCTCCGACCTTGATCGACTCGTTCGTGACTGGCGTGAATCGACCACACCACGGGTCGACGGAGACAGTCTTGCCAATCCTGTTGCGCTTCGTGAAATGGTCCAATCGGCGGGCAGCTCGACGTGGCGATCCGCAATTGGATGGGGATACGCTGCGCCGTAACCTGCACGTGGACAGCGTAACCGGCCCCAACACCACAGCGCACCTCTTGTCCATGGACTAACCTGCTGGTGTGTACGTCGTTGCTGGGTACCACCCGTATCCACTGCGCCTTGGTCACAGCTTCCTGCTGGAGGTCACTGCCGATGGCTATTTCGCTTCTGACGCTGATGCTTACCGCGAAGCGCTGCGCGAGTACGGCGTGTCCTGGCTCGCTGGGCTCCTATTCGTCCGCCACGTGATGCTTCGTGAATGAGGTAGCGGTACTTGATACTTGAGTTACCCAATCAAATCTGTCATTTCCCTTTGTTTCTACCAATAAGTATCACGTTAGTTGGCGCCAAAAACGAATGGACTCAGGCTGAACTTTGACTTCTACGGTGTTGGCTCGCTGCATTTCCGGTTTGACACCATTATGGTCACAACACCGCGCAAGCAACGCTCGTACACCATAGCAGAGAAGCGGGAAGCGCTTCAGCTCATTGATGCTGTTGGGGAAGCTGCTGCGCTGCGGCAGTTAGGATACCCTCGATGCTATCTGCGCGATTGGGCTGCCAAATTGGCCAAGGTTTTCGGCTACCGAGGCGCTCAGACTAACAAGACGCTTAAGGGACAGGGTAGGAAAGAAATCATCCCCTTATCTCATGCACTGGTAAAGTTTATGAAGGATATGAGACGAGATGAAGAGGTTGGTTAAGCGTTTATCACAATATTCACACTCTTGTAGACTAATCGGGTTTTTATATTGTCATGAAGCCACTTTGCACGCAGTACATGCTTGAATATATCAAGCTCAACTATCAAGATTGGCTTGTACAGTACTTAGAGTCGAAGAAGAGCGAACAAAGCGGGTATAATGCAATAATGAGATAGCTGCAGAGGTTTGCAAAACGGTACGATGATCTAAATGTTTTTTTGTTTTTGTTTTTCTGGGGGTAGTATTGATAAATAACTATCAACTTTTGTATAAGCCATGGTTTTTCAGTGCAGACGGCTTTAGCTACAAAGAACAAGGAGGCCGATTTGGAGTTAACTCACGTGGAGTTTGCTTTAGAGTTTTGGCAAAAACACGGATTGAAGCACTCGGCTTCAGAAATCTACAATGTAGATGAAACAGCCATCTACTATGATACGCCCCCTAAGAAGATTTGGGCCGTTCAGGGTCGCAAGGGCTCTGCAAAGATTCACAAGACTGCAACGCACAGTGCCAGAATGACGGCAGTCCTAACCGCTCGCGCTGATGGTACGTTTAGTATTATTTTTTCTTTTTCGACGGTTTAATTGTTTTTACTAACTGAGGTTTAGACAAAAAACTTCCTATTTTGTTTATTGTGCGTGCTCAACCAGGGGGGAAAATTGAGGAAGAAGAGCTAAAGAATTACCATGCGGGACATGTGTACGCATTTCAAGAAAATGGCTGGATGGATCGCCATCTCTGGGTACGGTATTGCAAAGAGCTCCTCAAGTTTGAGGTAGACGCACCCTCTGTCCTTCTGTTGGACAACTTCGACTGCCACGTCTCAGAAGAGGGACAGAGGATGGTTGCAGATGAGACCGGGGCCACCGTGGTGTCGCTTCCGGTGAACAGCACCGCGGTGTGCCAGCCCCTTGACGTTGGTGTCATGGGGCCTCTCAAGAAGAGCTTGAGAGCACTGTGGCCCAAGGAGCAGTCGGTGAAGAGAAAGAAGAAACAGGACAAGAAGGATCAGGACAAGAAGGAGACGCAGGACAAGGACAAGCAGGACAAAGAGGATCAGGACAAGGAGACGCAGGAGAAGGAGACGCAGAACACGAAGCCAGACAAGGGGAAGCAAGACGGCGGGGAGGAAGGCACGGAGGAGCTCGGGGAACAGAAGGAGATGACTGCAGCGGAGGACGATCCGGCGGACGAGTGCAAGAGCAAGAAGGTGGTCAAGAAGTCGAGGGGCAAGACAGGCCGAAAGTGTGCCAAGGGCAAGGACGGCAAGAAGGTTAAGCAAAGTGGCAAGGGCAAGAAGAGCAAGAAAAGCAAGAAGAACAAGAAGGACAAGAAGAGCAAGAAGGACAAGAAGGTCGAGGCTGATGAAGACAAGGAAACTGCCAAAGAGAAACGCTTAGCGTTAATCAAGCGCACGATCGCTGCGTGGGTGCTGATGTCCGCGGATACAATTATTGCGGCGTTCGAGAAAGCTATCCCGAAGTTTCCGACGATGAAGATCTAACATCAATACACGTACATGCTTTTTATGTTTATCATATGCTTAAACTAGTCGATTTATATCCTAAATCAGTTTATTTATGTTGGTTTGGCCAATACGATCGCTTTATTTAATGATGGCGCGTTTCATGTCGTCTGTCGGTGGTGCGAAAATCCCATACAAATTTCCACCAAGTGGTGGCGTCTTTCACCGTCGTGGTCTGTACTGCGGCCGGACGCTTGGTGAACTTCACGCCTTGACGACGCCCGCCGCGGAGAGGACGCTGAAGGGAATCAGCAACTGGTGCGAGAGGGTTGTTTCAATCATCACGAGCTGGTCCAAGCAGTAGATATGAAACGCGGCGAGGGCGTTGACGATAGCCAACAGTTCTTGTTGCTGTGTGTATTTCAGCAGAGTAAACAGAGGTGCGGTCAGTTCCGCATATTGCTCACAAAACCGCTGCACATATCCCATCAACCCAAGAAAGCTGTGAAGTTGTTCTTGCGTTCGAGGAACAGGCCAGTCCCGAATTGTCTGAACCTTATCCGGGTCAATGCGGACTCCATTGCGGCCGACGAAGTCACCGAGACGCGGAATCGCTTCGGCACAGAACACACACTTCGACAGTTTCACGTACAGCTTGTTCTTCTTCAGAACCACCAAAACGTCCCGAAGCGCTTGCAGGTGTTCGTTGATGTCCTTTGACTTCGTAAACACGTAGATATCGTCATAGAAAGATCTGGTGTGCAAAAGTCCCTTGAACAGCGACGACGTCAGCCTGTGCATTGTCGCCGGTGCATTGCTGACACCCATCGGTAGCACCAGATACTCGTACAACCCGGTTGGTGCTTGGGATACTGTGTACTTCACATGGTCCATCTTCATCCGCACTTGGTAGTACGCAGACATCAAATCCATACACGAGAAGAAGTAGGCGCCAGCGATACTGTCGAAAAGATCTTCCTTGCGTGTCATCGGCACGCTCTGTCGGATCGTGTTGCTGTTGAGATAGCGGTAGTCATGCACAATGCGCCATCCCACTGGTTTTCGCACACAAAATGTTGGTGCAGCGTGTGGACTAATACTGGGTCGAATCAATCCCTTGGCAATCACCTCACGAACCCACTAGTCGATCTCAGCCTGTTGCTCCGGTGAAAGTCGCCACTGCTGTCGGTACATAGCGATGTTCGGGTCTTTCACGTCGATCCGATGCTCGATGTCGCGTTCCATTGGTAATCCGCCCGGTAGAAACACATTGTCCTTGTACCCAACGATCACTGGATACGCCGGATTATTCTTGAACGACTCCCAGTCGGTTGGTAGGAATAGCTTGGCTTTCTCTGATCCAACATTGTCCAGCTCGTCATTGCGCTTGAGGTCTCGCTCAATCTTCTTGATCGTATCGTTCGACAACACTATCACGAAATCGTGCTCGGGCGCGTCCTTCGCTGGTAACCGCAAAAACTTCCGCAGCCTGGTGATGTACTTCGTCTCGACTCCATCCGAGTCAACGACTCCAAGGGTAAACATTGCCTCCGCTTTGGCATTCTTCTTCTCTCTCCGAGAGAGAATCTCCACATCTCCAGACGGTCTTTCAACAACTTCGGCTTCGCACTCCGACTGAGTCGATATCGGGTTGTACATCCACGAAGAACGGCATCCCGAGAACAGTCACATTCCTCGGGAATGTCGAACACGACAGCAACGCACAGATAGTTGAGGTCACCTCGAAGCTGGACTTTAATCTTCACCAACTCCAGTACGGCCTCGCCAATCTTGTTGTCACCAAGCTTAACCTTGATGGTTCGGTCCGCGTACACGTGAGTCCTCAAATTGTTTTTCCAGCCGAAGCCACGCGACACGTAAATGGTTGTTGCTCCACAGTCCAGAAGGAGATTGGCCGCATGCTTCAGCTCACATTGTCGCACTTCTCCAACTACCAAAAACAACATTGTAGAGGAGAGGGTCATCGCAAAGCAGATTCAACGTAGCCTCGTTTACGGGTAAATCTTGCTCGCAGGTTCTCGCCACGCCAGGTCCCTCATCAACTGGCGTGGCGTCTCGTTTCCCTGATCCTTCTTCAGCTTGTTGCAGTCGCGCTTGAGGTGACCAGGCTTCTTGCAGTAGTAGCACACAGGGCCTTCCTTGGTCTGCTCAGCAGGTGCGTAGTGACCAGGCTTGTACGAGCGCTTGTTGAACGGCTTCCTGTCTTGAATAGCGGTCGACCTTGGTGGCCCACGGAAGCAATGCTCACGCTCCGATCTCTCACGCTCCGTCTTGCGTTCCTCCCCGAAGTGAGACATCTCGTACTTGTCCGCTTGGTCCATCGCCTCGCTCAACATTGTCGGGTTCTGAAGTTTGAAGTAAGCTTGGGTCGCGCGGTTGAGGCCGTCGCAGTACTAGCTGACTTGATCCACTTCACTCATGCTCTCGACACGGAAAATCAGGGAGGTATATTTCCCATTGTACTCCTCGATGTCTCCGACCTGGCGCAGCTGTCGAAGCTTCTGCTGCAGCATGGCTTAATAGTTGGAGTCTTCGAAGTGCGAGAGCGCGTCACGGGAGAACTGCCCCCACGTCTGATCCTCCGCTGGCGTCCTCGAGGCCCAGAACAGGAACCATCCGGACGCGGGGTTTTCCATAGCCGTGCCCTAAAACATATCCTTTGATTCTTACTTCATTTCACTATTGCATACAATGCAGTAGTATATATGGCGCAACAGTGAATCCTATCAAAGTGAGCGCACCCGCCTTCTGTGCTGGGTACGGGTGCGTTCCTGAAAGCTTCTGTTCTATCTGATGCCCTGAGCGCCGCCTAGTACTCTACCGGCTAGAGCTCATGCGATATTCGCAAACGGAAAGAGGCGTTTAATGCTGCCAACAAAGGGCCAGCAGCGTGCGACCTGCCAAGGCTTAGTGTACTCTTCCGACATAGCGTTCGCTACCATGGCACCCGCACTCGCACTGCGACGCTTGCAGTGACGTTCGTCAGTATTTAGGAATGGCTTCATTTGTCGGAAAATGATTAAAAAATAGAGTTTGGGCTGAGGCATCAACTCCGCAAGGGTACCTACCCCTTGAAGACAGGTTAATTACTATGTGTCCTGTTTTAAATTTATTTTAAAGGATAATTGGTTACTAGCATTAACTTTGGTAAAAGTGCCCAGAAAGCTTTTCGATGAGATACACCCTAACGCCTTTTGGGGAATAATCTAAAGGGCGCTTTATGTAGCCTTTTGCCGCGAAATGGTCAATACGAAGTCGGCCTACTGCTTGTAGACCAGGGTGAGGGTTTAAATTGAGGTTTTTAACTTGTTACTTTTCCGGTTGTTCACCTAGGTCATCCAAGGCCAAGACAAATAAAGGTTTCCGCAATATACTAGGCTTACGTGCAAAAGGCGACAAGTAAAGCAAAAAAAGCATTAAACTAGTCCAATCCTTCACATAGCTATCCGTTAGGGACAACCGTAAGGCTTGTTAGCACAATAGACTAGCAAAAAGCGTTCATGTCGATATTCAAGTCTTTATGGCTAGCAAAATGCGTTAATGCCGCTAAGTTTCTACGGATGTGAAGTCGCAGGTACCGCGAAGAGCAGTAACTCTAGCCCAAGGTTTGTAGCAGTAGTCGAGCTGAAAATCGCAGTAGCAACTCGAGTCGGTCGATCGGAGATCTTATAACCATGGTCCGGCGAAAATGGACCGACTTGTGCTACAATATGTGAAGCTTGAAGATTGAGCTGTAGCTGCACGCAGAGGCCGCGAGAGAAGATTGACCGCGATGCCCAAGTGTATAGATTGTTCGATGCAAACTGCAAAGTGCTATTAGCGGGTTGAGGCCTTTTTGCTGTCCGTCGGGGGAGTACCCAAGGCAGTGCTAAAGTAAATAAATTTGATGGGTCAATTCACTTCAAGTTGAAGCGAAGTGGGTTGACGTGCACCATACAAAAGTCAATGTGCCGTACAAAGGCAGTGCACCATGGTCATGTTTCCTCGCTTGTCTACTTGCTGGGTGAACGTGGCTAAGCACATAAGATGTTTACACCCCACAAGTTGTAGTTGAGCGGTTTCAGTCTCGACGTGCTCGTCGCATGTCTCGGTCCTGACATTTCCGCCGCCCACTGGAACTGGAATTATCGGCACGTTTGTGAGTCGGATAGCAAAAGACCGGAAATAATCTATTTAAGTCGATCGTTAAACCGCATCAGAATGTTTTGACCAAACGTGCAAAAACCGCCCAAATTGTTGCAGGTTGACGTCAAGTGCTGAAAGTGCTGACGTACCCTTAGAAAATTCGATCCGTGCGAAGCTTCGCGTGCATCTATGATTGCAGCGTATCTTCCAAGATTTTCGACATCGTCGACCTAGACAAGTCGTGGGACGAGGAATAACCGTTTGCATAGAGCATGTCACAGACCTGGAACTGGTCACTTTGCATAACCAGCCGTTTACTAAGTATGGACCTGCGTGCAACACTCTTTGAGCCCCGCTCAACTCTGGTAGCACTTGCGGGGAGAAAATCTCTCTGCTGCAAGGCATGTATTTGAACTCGGGGTGTAAGTGTCTCGTCAGCGTGACCAACCCAGCTGTTGGAGAGACATTTTTACATTGGTAGAGCAGCATATTAATTGTGCGCTGACCGTGAGAAAGAAATAGAGATCAGACGTGGTGGAAGTTCAGTTTGCGTCTGACCCCGGTGACATCCCAATTACCCAGTCTTGAAGCTGGTTAGCTTTTTTTCGGCTTAGCACAAACTTCGACTTGTGACGTCTCGCCTGAAGAGCTAGGTGTTGGCGGGAGCGTACGCCAACGTTCGTAAGGACAAGGTAACAAAGTTCGTTGGTCCGTTCTGCAGCTTGTTGGGAGGGGGGGGGGCAACCCAGGCAATACGGGCAAGGCTTGGTGAGACCTCTACAACAACCTCTACAGCTTTATAGCGAAATCAAATCGGATTCTTGAGGCGTTGTTAAAAAGGGCAACATTAACGAGTCTGAGCACCCGGTGGAGAAAAATTTCATCATCAAGATTGCTGAGGCTTCGCCTAAAGATCCTCACAGGGCTTTGTCGCGTCCATCTAATAGCGTTTCTGTAATGGGCCTACCTTGGCTCACTACTACGGCTTACACGTATGCGCACGTGTATGAGGAAGCGTAGGTTTCTACTTGAGTTAAGTATACTCGAGATCCACGAGTATACTTTAAACAAGATAAAGACTACAAGTAGCGGGTTTTGGTAAAAGATGAGAACTGCTATTTTTGTTTTGTTTCTGACTTCCTCTAAATGTAATATTCTAAACTAGAAATCTGTCAACGGCTGGTTGGCTGGATTCTGCTAACATGCAAGCCACTCATTGGCTAAAAGATGCTGCTTTCAGTCAATAGGAATCCTAAATGTGTATGGACCACCCGTCGTGGTGGTCATAAATGTATGTAGCCATTGGTGTACGTTACACCAAGGTCGAGGAAGTGTTCAAACCTCTAACAGACATCGCATCTGTTAGAGTTACAAGTGACTGTGGCCACTTGTGCGTATAACCCCGTTACACCATCCCCCCGTCAAGGTTAGACGTGCCGGTCCCGGCACGTCAACTACCATTGACCGCTTGGTCAATGCGTGACGTTGAAGAGAGCGCGCTCGTAATGGAACGAGCGTGTCGAAGTTGAAGACCGCTGGCACAGCAGCGGAGAACCTCTCTGCTGCTGAGTAGCATGCGCGGCAACGTGCGAAGCACGTCGCTGCCGCGGGGGGCAGGTACCTATGTCTGCCCTCGAAGTGTCTTCGGGCGCTGCTGTTAACAGCAGCGCTCGCATTACGTTCCAGTGTGCAGCGCATGGTGGGCTTCGTACGCCCTCACCATGTCCGGGACGTCTTCGAGCAAGACGTTCCGCGGCTCCCATGTATCTTGGTTGGGAGGGAATCCTCTCCAACGGATACGAAAACGAACTGGTTGCCTGTTCGTTCTCGGGATACTGTGATCAACAATCCGCTCAACAATCCATCGAGTTGAGCCGTGTGCATCACGAATCGGTGGCGGCGGTGGCAGAAACACACCCCGTGTGTGGTCAACTTGGTGTTGACCCTGATCTCGTGTCTCCCCACAACCAAGTCCCAGTCGTGGAGTAGTTCCAGAGCGCTGCGTTCGGCGCTCTGAAGTATTCGCAGTTTGCGGCGGCCTCCCAGACCGCCTCGATCGTTCCGACCGAGCTGGACCATTAGCTGGACCCGCTGCTCCAGCGCGAAGTCGCGCTGGAGGGGACGATGGCTTCCGTCGAGTCTTCTGCTTCGGTTCAGCCGAGCTAGGTAGCTCGTGCTGCAGGTATGGCTTCAGCCTTCCGACGTAGAACGTTGGATGGAGACGCATGCTAGACGGAATGTCCAGTGTGTAGGCGTTGCCGTGCCGTGCCAGCACAGTGAACGGCCCGATGAAGCGCGGAGTGATCTTGCTCGCCCTGAAATCGGAAACGGCATGTTTAGGCAGGTTTTGAGTAGCTAACAAAACCAATGAACCCTTCTTGAAATCATTTGTGTTGCCCCTGCCAACGTTGTCTGCGTTCAGCTTCTGTCGATCAACAGAAGCTGCAATAGCGTCTTGGACAAACCAAATGACGGCTTGTCTGCGCTGCACGAAGTTGAATGCGTCCGAGTTGAACTCGTTCAGCTCGTTTCTAGCAGTAGGCCCGACCTCTGCGTTCGTCTTCGCGGTGTCTGTGCCCTGCACAGACCCGTTCTTCTTCTTCTTGCTCTTGCCGGCGTCTGTGCCCTGCACAGACGCGGTCTTCTTCTTAGATACACTCGGAACTTCGCGAGTGCGTACTTCATTGCAAGGAGCTCCTTGTCATGTACCGGGTAGTTGCGCTCAGCTGGCTTCAGCTGACGCGATTGGTAGTAGACGACACGATCACGGCCCTCGTGCTCGTGCTGCATCAACGCACATCCGATTGCGAAGTCGGATGCGTCACACACAACGTGGAATGGGCGATCTTGGTCGGCCACCGCCAAGATCGGCGCCTCAGTCAAGCCCCGCTTGACTGCATCGAAGGCCTGCTGACACTCAGCAGTCCAAACCCACTCGACGTCCTTCTTCAGGAGCTGTGACAGCAAGCGTATCATGCCCGCGTAGTCCTTCACGTACTTGCACAAGTACGTGGCC